TTAGCCAGCATCTGTACAAATAATAAATGAGAAAAACAAAACAAAAAGGACGCACACAAAGCAAGAAAAAGAACCAAAGTCAAGTATATAAACAAGTACCCACCCATCCCTTTACATTCAGTGTTGTCCCCAACTGACAAACACAACATCCCCAAAGCTTCTCTGCTTTCTGTAGGAACCTCTCGCCATAAACTCAACCACTGTCCCAAGTAGAAAAAAAAAGGGAATCTAAACTATAAATCACCCATTTGCCCCAAAGCGTATTGGAGAAAGTCACATCGAACAATGTGTGTAGTTTTTCTTTTAAAACAAGAACGAACTCCTATAACAACTAAAACAACATAACACATGATGCGTCTGCTTAACATCAAATATACGCTAATTCGGGCGGTACAGTTCGCTTGGTACCCAATTTAACAGTACTACTATCCACTCAGCTGCCCAGAAATACAAACAAACGCACCATCCGTATGTATCAGTCCACAGATGCAGGAGAGTCGCTCAAAGTATTTTCAATCGAATCCTGTATCCTGCTCACTCAGAAAGGGGACCAAACTTGGATTCAATGAAGGTTTTCGCTGATTCAGGGGAATCAAACATTTTTGATTCGCCATTCATGGAGATCCGAAAACGAGCAGGATAGATAAGACCGTAGCGAACTCCGTCCTTTCCCTGTAGTAGCTTCTTTATTCCATTGAAGGCAGCCCGGCGTCTGGACAGGTCGATGCTGTAGTCGGGAAAGATAAAGATCTGCTCCCCTCGAAACTCCAACTTGCCTTTCCGTCTAGCCAGCTGTTGTATCCGCTCCTTCTCCTGGTAGTAATGGATCCGCACAATAAAGGCCCGCGGGCGTTTTCCCTTCGGAGGTACCGGTGCTACCACCCGATGCGCCCTGTCCAGGAGTGGAGCCTTTTCCAAGCCGTCGGGACCTCCCAGCACGTCGAATAACAGGTCAGCGATGAATCTTGTGGGGTTCCCCTGCTCCATTCCTTCAGGTATTCCCAGTATGCGAAGGTTACAACGTCTTCCCCTATTTTCCAAGTCGTCTGTTTTAGCCAATAACTTCTTATATTGGTTGTTTAGGTCCGCATAGCTGATTTCCACAACTTCCAAGCGCTTGTCCAAATTCTCCAGACCTTCTTCATAGTCACCCAATTTCTTTGTGAATTCGTCAACAGCAGCTTGAATGGGCGAAACGGCTTTGGCGATTTCTTCTTTAATTTCACCTCGTAGGTTTTCGTTTTCCTCTCGAATTACTTCTTTAACAATATCGCGGAATGTAAGCAACATGGCCTGGTCTATAGCTGCTCTGCTAGCAGCCTCCGGGTTATTAGCTTGCGCTCCTTTAGCAGAAGATTTAGGTGGCATCTTGATCCAGAAAAGACGGGAGTTCGCACACTGACGTCGACTCTCCAGTTACAACCCAGAGTATCCAAGAATTGGGCTACTTTGGGCGATTTTTAGACTATTTAAAAAAAAAAAATGTTGGGACTTCGTGGTTTGCACGTCTACTCCATAACGCGCCCCTAGTGGCTCCCAACGCGAGGCCATTTTAACGGCGATAATTTTTTTAACGTGAGATTAACGCTATGTGGTTTTATGGTACAATTTTCCAAGTACATCCCGCTGCAGCCTGCGGAAAGGCGGGGCTATTTTCCCCCAGTCTATGCATTTTCCATAGGCTTCAAGAGCGGAGCTTCTCAAGGAAAAAAGACGCTCATACACTGAGTGACGCTAGTGCCTTTTCTTTAAGCCCCACCACCAACAAACAAGTTGAGTGTCTGGTAACTAGTAGCAACCTGAAATACGCTGAGAAAACAGATTACTGAGGTGAAATGGAATCTGCTACGGCACTCTTGCTGTCTGTGTACGCCACAGGTCGGTATCGTGTGTGTGTGTGTGTGTGTGTGGGTGGGTGGGTGCTTGTGTGTGTGTGTGTGTTCTCATTTTTGTTAAGAGGCTGAAAAGTAACTTTCTAGAGCATAGACTACCTCCATCTAGTGATGTCGGTCTATTGATTTTGATGTATTGATTGAAAATTGTTGATTATTATCTTGGTTAATTAACATCTCATGTTAACTGTACTACATTTTATAGCAGTAGGGTAAAATGCTTGTCTTTGTTCAAAAGACTGTATTAACTGTAAAGACTGTCTTTTACATAAGCCTGTTTTCAGGGCCTTTTTTTTGGCTACATATTTGTTATTTTTTGCTACATGCCTCCCCATCTTCTTGCCATATGTTTCTATGGCATAAATCAGTGTCTGTGACCTGTTTTCATTTTAAAAAAAGAACATTGGCACAAACCTAGCCTGTATGTATTTTTTGTATGTCATCGAGAGTATTTAAATGATTTTCAATCAGAAAAAAAATTTGCGATTAAAATGCGATTAATCGCGAGTTAACTCAGGCATTGATGCGATTAATCGCGATTAAAAAAATTTAATCGATTGACAGCACTAATATATATATATATATATATATATATATATAATTTATCGACGATCGGAGTCTGAGTGTTTTATTTTGAAAAATATAAAAAATTGCGGTATTCTCTCCCAATTACATCAGTCGGTACATCTGTGCCTCTTGACACAGGTTAATTCAGTTCAAGACTCATCCTATCTGTAACATCCTGTCTTTGTGAAGCGGGATTTTCTGCGGTTACAGCGACCAAAACAAAGCTACGGAGCAGACTGGACATCAGGAGCACACTTCGTCTGTCAGTTTCTCCGATTACGCCTCGATGGGACGGGCTTGTTTTATTTTTATGCTGTTTGTATTTGATTTTATGCCAGTCGTATCATTTTACTTGATCCCCCCCCGGCTGGTCCGTGAAAATATTGTCTCACATATAGCGGTCCGTGGTGCAAAAAAGGTTGGGGACCACTGCTTTACATGATTATAATATAGGAAAATAAAACAGAATCAAAGAAAGTAGGAAAAAATAAATAAATAAATAAATAAATAAAATAAAAAATGCAGAAACAAAAAAAGAACATTAAAAACAGTTGAAGTAAAGAAAATAAGAAAGTTGAACTAATGATGTTTCAGTTGAACTGTCAAACTAGAAAGAGTTGACTCATATAAGTTATTCATTGACACTATCAATGCTACGAGCAGGACTTCCCTCTTGAAATACCATCTATGTAAGTTTGGAGAAGACGCACCATCGTTGGCCAGGGCTTTACAGCCACAGGCTCTTGTATAGTCATGGAGATAAGGCTTTAGCTCTACTATTTTTCCGCCTGCTACTGGTCATGGCTAAGGCGAGGAAATAGTTTGAACCTTCTGAGGAGGCTAAAAGAGTGAAAGGGATCGAGTGCAAGGAAAAACAAAAGTCAATCATGGAAAAGAGATTGACTTTTCTAAACTTTATTATTAGAATGTTATAACGCAGCAACTTCAGGAAACAAAAAAAGGTAAGTTAACACTTTGCTCCTAGTATACAGTTATATATCTTTGTTATCATTTTTAATGTTTAGTTTAGTTTAGTTTAGAAAGCTAACAGCCTACAAACAAAACCTAACCAAGAAGCCCCTTCTGTCCCAGTGGCTGTTCACTGGAGCTCCGCCCCTGATCCTCCGTGCCACTCGGCACGGCCTCGGCTGCCCCGGTAGGGCTCTCCAGAGAGCAGCAGCGTTTCTCACGCTCAAGCTGAACCTAGACGCCTAGCGCAGCAGGTTGGTCGGCTGACTATTTGTTTTTCTTTTATGACAATGAAGCGGCGCTTGTGGCCAGTAGGGGCACTAGATGTGGAAGTTATAGGTCTAGCGCCCCTAGTGGCCAAAAGTTACAAAGTGTTCCTTTAAAAGAAATTAGATCCTTATGTGATCCTATGTGATCTCTTCTTCTAACTCTTGTAAATCTCCTTACACTTATATTAGTTGTAGTCAAAACAATCACACAATACGGGTTCTAAAGGGGGTAATTAAAGACAATTGAGTCGCTGATCCCTTCCTCTTTTAAACTTTGTTTGGATTATCAAGCAACAATGTTAAAAAAGTTCTAAAAAACGCTTTTTTAAATTGTATTGCTGCCACATCCCAAGAGGTGGATTACTGTAAAACCATCTGGTGCTACGAGTTGGAGCTGCAGAACCACCAAAAGAGCCAACAAATCTACCTGCACAAATGTTGGGCCATAAAGGTATGATAGAGACTAGCCATAATGGGTGTTGTAATCCTATGCCATGCCAGTGAGTGGGAAAGTATCGCTGCCACAGAAATAAAGGATTTTAACTTACACACACGTGTGTGAAAATGTTGTAGTAAAAAGAGCAGGAAAAAATAACAATGAATGCAACACTAAGAACAGATGGATTTGTGTGGACCGATGATAAGGTAATTAAATAAGGAGCAAAAAATTGACAAACTCATCAGCTTCTTAAGAAAATAGCAACTCTGAAGTCCACCAATGTGTCTGTTCCATGGAAAGTTTCACCTTAGCCTTAAAGTTTATAGTCAGTTGGGAGATTGTTTAAATGGCGCCACCCTGTGGGAGGCCTTCATACTGAGGGCAGTCCAGACTCAGCACAACAGTCCTAATTTCCTTTCTTATCAGCTATAGTGTTCTTTCTGTTAACATCACGAAAGGTGAAGAAAAGGAGCTAGGGCGCTACAGTTTAGCTGTATTTGTATCGAGCCTCTGTTCCTCCACATCGAAAGGGGTCATTTTGAGGTGGTTTGTGAATTTGAACAGGAATCTTCTTGAAGGTCACCCTTTGGTTTTCCAAGCATGTCCTACGCAGCGAAAAAACACGTGGATTATGGAGGGATGTGGATTATTCAAAATCTGCTGGGTTTTCCCTTAGTGACTTGAGGGATGTCTGTTTCCATCATTTCTCTCTATTTATATATATAGATTTACAGACAGAGTGTCCATCCATCCATCCATCCATCCATCCATCCATCCATCCATCCATCCATCCATCCATCCATCCATCCATCCATCCATCCATCCATCCATCCATGACTCATAGCCTGCCAGTGTTTTTTGTACCTGATGTGCCTCAGCAGGTCTTGCTGAGCTGCAAGATGCCTCTGTGCTTCTTTCACTCGGCCGTCCATGGTTAAGCTTGCACAGAGCTGAGCGCAGTGAACAGCTAGCACTGCCACGTTGAGCCTTCCCAGAAGAATCTGACTTTAAACGAAACCAACAAGGGGAGTCAGTATAAGAGAATCTAAAAACAGATCTGTTACATGCAGTACTTTGTAACTCTAGAAATAAGACCTTTTTTTTACCTGCTGGTGGTTACTGGCCGCTGTTCAGTAATGATGCGAGTTACTTTTTGTTGGTCTCTAGTCTTGAAGCTGAGATGCAGCTGGAATGGAAGTGTGTTCCTCTCAAGGCAAACTTGTAACCAAACAACATGTCTTAGCAAAACACAACTTAGAGCTATTTTCTCTTTGTTTGTCCTAAAATGTAATTGAAAAGCTAGGTGGAGAGGCAGTAATTGAACCACCCAGGTGGCAGCAGCTGATAACTTCCTCTGCAGTGTGATGTAAACTCACATTCCATATAATCTGGTTTCACAGCGAACTCAAAGGTGATTTCCATTCCCTTTGTTACGTTTCCAATCTCTTTCACCAGTTTATGATTGTCCTCATCCTCAAATGGGAAGTATCTACACACAGAGACAAGAGATGCTTTAGTTGTGTTCATAAAAAACATTCAAATGTATATCCATTTTGGTTTGTTGGTTTTTGCATGATGAGTTTTATCCATCCGTCGGTCGGTCGGTCGGTCCGTCGGTCGGTCGGTCGGTCGGTCCGTCCGTCCATCCATCCATCCATCCATCCATCCATCTATCCATCCATCCATCAGTCTATCCATCCATCCATCCATCCGTACGTCCGTCCGTCCGTCCGTTTGCCATCGATCCATCCATCCATCCGTCCATCCATCCATCCATCCATCCATCCGTCCATCCATCCATCCATCGATCCATCCATCCATCCGTCCATCCATCCATCCATCCATCCATCCATCCATCCATCCATCCGTCCGTCCATCCATCCATCCATCCATCCATCCTTCCGTCCTTCCGTCCGTCCGTCCGTCCATCCATCCATCCATCCATCCATCCATCCATCCATCCATCCATCAATCCATCAGTCTGTCCATTCATCCATCCATTTATGTATCTATCCATCCACCCGTCCGTCCATCCATTCATCTATCATCCATCCTCCATCCATCCATCCATCCATCCGTCCGTCCGTCCGTCCGTCCGTCCGTCTGTCCGTCTGTCCACCCATTCATCCATCCATCCTCCAGCCATCCATCCATCCATCCATCCGTCCGTCCGTCCGTCCGTCCGTCCATCCATCCATCCATCCATCCATCCATCCATCCATCCATCAGTCTGTCCATTCATCCATCCATTTATCTATCTATCCATCCAGCCGTCCGTCCATCCATCCATCTATCCATCCATCCTCCATCCATTATCCACCCGTCCGTCCATCCATCCGTCTGTCCATCCATCCATCCATCCATCCATCCATCCATCCATCCATCCATCCATCCATCCATCCATCCATCCATCCATCAATCCATCAGTCTGTCCATTCATCCATCCATTTATCTATCTATCCATCCACCCGTCCGTCCATCCATCCATCTATCCATCCATCCATCCATCCATCCATCCGTCCGTCCGTCTGTCTGTCCACCCATCCATCCATCCATCAGTCTGTCCGTCCATCCATCCATCCATCCATCCATCCATCCATCCATCCATCCATCCATCCATCCATCCATCCATTTATCTATCTATCCATCCAGCCGTCCGTCCGTCCATCCATCCATCTATCCATCCATCCTCCATCCATTATCCACCCGTCCGTCTGTCCATCCATCCATCCATCCATCCATCCATCCATCCATCCATCCATCCATCCATCCATCCATCCATCCATCCATCCATCCATCCATCCATCCATCCATCTGTCTTGCCAAGGTCATGAACAAGCAGCATCTCAAGGAACACACTTTTTAAATACCTGCTTGGCTGGGGTTCATGTAACTTGGCTTGGATGAACCCCAGCCAGTCAAGCAAGCTGAACGTATGTTTTCATCACTAGAATAACTCTATTGTAATAGTTAAACCTGGCATTTATAACAAAAACTTGCAACAGTCAGTGCATCCCAAGGTAATGGTTACAGTGAAGTCAACAATAACCACATAGCAAAAACTGCTGTGATGGATTTGTATAAAAAAATAAAAAAAGTTTATGGCTATGAATACTTAGGTGCACATTAGTGAAGGTAACGAATAAAGGTAACGAGTGGAGGACATAGGAACCTCTTACAGAAGAAGTTACAGGTCTGTGAGAGCCAGAAATCTTGCTTGTTTGTAACTGACCAAATACTTATTTTCCACCATATTTTGCATATAAATTCTTTAAAAATCAGACAATGTGATTTTCTGGATTTTTTTTTCTCATTTTGTCTCTCATAGTTGAGGTATATCTATGATGAAAATTACCGGCCTCTCTCATCTTTTTAAGTGGGAGAACTTGCACTATTGGTGGCTGACTAAATACTTTTTTGCCCAACTGTAATTCTTCCTGTCATCTCCTTTTCCTCACTTTGAGTCAGGTAAGTCATCATAATATTTACAATAATTTAGATTTTCAGTCTTTACTCACACTCCATCAGGAGCAAGCAGGGTTGCCGTAGCACTTGTTGCCAAGACATTGTCTTCAGAGATGGACTGGATCTCTGTTGCCATGGTTCCAATGCTAACAATGTTAACCTGTGGAGAACAAAGGATTTAAGGGTTTGATAAGTGTATTTTCTATTAAGTCATATTAGACAACTAGTTATCAATAATCTTTAAAGCATTGGTAATAGGACTGATAAAACAAAGCCCCATTTGGAACATATCTTAACAATAAAAATATCATTAAACATTGTCTTAAAAGTTGGGACATTTTGTGTAACAAATTGATCGTAAACAGAAATTCAAATTTGTTTTATGGATAAAAAGAATGAAACTGCAGACTCATTCTGCCTTGAAAGGCAGTAATATCTACTACAACCAGTTACTTAGCATTTTTAACTCCTATAACTTTGATAATTGCTCTTATAGATGCTGTTTAATTTCAGAATGAAGAACCAATGTCTTTGCAGTAGCTCAAAGTCTAAGACTTTTAGCTAACTTTCAAACTAAGACAATCTTTAAAAAAAAGAGTTACAATGTTTTTCAAAATAAGAGTCTAGCTATTTTAAAACTTTACATTAAAAAAAATATCACATAAATTGAACAGATTTTAAGACTTTTATGTTTTGGGGCCGCAATTTTTTAAATTACACATTAAGTATTTGTGCTAAATATAGGCCAAAATGTCTAATTCCATTACTTTGTTATTGTTCTTGGATGACAACAAAGATAAAGAAATCGTCGTCTTTCCCAGCATATTTATATTTTACTGATATTAATGTGTCTTAATATTACTGAAACAGATTATTGCCAGTTAAAGTAATCTAAAAAAAAAAAAAAGCAGCAAATAAGATATTTTTTTCACTTAAATTAAGTTCCTTAAATGAGCTATCTAACTACTGCTTGTGACCAAGTTCAATTAGATCTAAATATAATGCAGAAATCCCTAAACGTGAAGCACAAGTATTTTGTTTTTCTCTACATTTTTTTTTTTAGAATTTAAGATGTGTGCATTTATGTTATTATAACAATTTACATCTGGTAATATCAAGGGCGTAGGTTTGATTTCAACTTTGGTAGAGACACTATTGGTCTGATGTCATTGGTCCTATGCAAAAATGTGCATGCTCGTTTTTTTATGCATGACGTGAAAATCAGGTTGTATTTCGTTTAAAGAGAAAAGAAGAATTTTTTGCTACATTTATGCAAATTTTATAAGCACTACACACACTAGATGCTGTTTATCAATGACTGAAGCTTAACTGGCTCTGACGAATGCAGAAATAGGACTTTTTTCCACTTTGAAAAGGTTTGCATTTGAAATTACCAGCAAATAAAACAGTAGTTAAATCTGTCTATTATATGTGGATTTATACTTTCTTTTATTTTGAAGATATAGAATTGTGCAAAGGTAAATAGAGGTAAGACCCACTTTTATCTTTTAAATGTTCTTTGTATCATGAAACAAAGCGAAATATTAGATTCAAGGGACGCCAAATAAATGTAATGCATTTTTCATGTGCACTGGAACTAGAAGAGGAAATGACACTGAGCATTTAATATATTAACTTCACTCTACAAGTTGTATATCTAGGCTGTAGTTAATCTATTTAACCCATTTCATGTATTTTATTTAGGGCTGAAACAATTCTTTGGATTAATCAATTATTGAAATAATGCCAACAAACTTAGTAATCGACCCACTTAGAGCAAGAATTATAAAATAAAAAAATTGATTAACATTTTCTATTTTAGATATATTTTCGTCGGTCAATATTCTCCATCTAGAACTCCTCTACTGCTGCAACAACGTTGTATTGTAAATCATAAAGGTTATTCACATCTAATTTTTGGTAGGGACAAGTAGGTCGGTCCAAAATTTTGGTAGGGACATGTCCCTATGGTCCCTATGCAAACCTACGCCCATGGGTAATATTGTTCCTCACCCTTCCTCCAGTTAAGTCAGCCAGTCTCCCAATGTCTGCCAGGCAGCAATCCGTCCCTTTGAAGGACATCACTGAGATTATGACTCTAAAAAAGGAAGACAATGTTTTTTGATCACTAGGAATTCAACTAAATATTTACATGTAATATCTCATGGTTAATGTAAGTGTGTGTGTGTGTGTGTGTGTGTTTCCTTACCCTTTCTCTACTGCCTGCAGAGCAAGCTCTCTATAGAAATATTTAGAGTCTGTAGAATTGCCTTGCTCCATGTCACCAAGTCCAATGTTGGCTCTGCCATCAGTGCACAAAATGACCTGCAACATACATTATAATGAAGTCTCAGAAAGCTGCTGCTGCTGGCAGTTTTCACATATGTAAAGGCTGCAAAATAACTAGGCCTTAACTGTTGCTCATCAAGTGGTAGCTTGTGTACCACTAGAGGGAGCTAGACAACAAAGCTGGAACCCACACAGTTCTCAGTGACAGATAAAATTGAGATTAGTTGTTTGTCCCACAGAGAAATTAATCATCAGCTGATGTAATACCAGTCATGACAACACTTTATTTTCATTTAAAATGGTTTATTGTCATGGAATTCATTTATTTAAGTCTTTTTTTAGATATGATTCTGCTCTAATCAATGCACCTTTAACAAATGAAGTATGATTCCGTAGAACCTGAATCCTGACTGAAGGGTATGCTGTTTGATATCAATTTGCTAGACTAGGAATATAGTGAAGAAATTCAGGACACACACCCTCATGGACAGAATTGAGACATTTCTGTTAAAGCTTGCAGCATACAAAGAAAATAAATATTATCTACATGAAATATTCTGGAGATTAGACTGAAATAAGATATTGATTAGGTTCTGTGGGAGATTCGATGATTCTTTTTGCTCGCCTCGCTATCCCTTTTCCTACCATGATGTAGCTGAAGTAATAAACTGAGATCTAGAACCTGACTAAAAATAAACATTAAAGTAAATATAACGTATGTTAAGAGTCTTAGAAGATCAAGAGTTCCTAGACTGATCCCTGGTGGCCTTGGCCCCCCAAAGAGTGGACTTATTCTTTTACTGTATGTGTTGATAAGATGTAGAAATGCATCAATAAGCTTTCAGGAAATATGGATGGTAGTTTGATTTAGTCCTCATTCACCTTGGAGCCCGGGTATTTAGATGCCAAAGCTACAGAAGCCAATGTTGCTGGGCCAAGAGCCGTAGCTCCATGCTCTCCAAGCCTAGAAGACACAGAACACAGCTTTTTAAAAACATTTTTATGTGGAACATTTAGTACTAAGAGTCAGTAGCACTTTTATTAAAACTAAATAAACTGTATTTAACGTAATTTCTTCACTTTTCTTTCTGATTTCTTACTCTTTGACTCTGTTGGTGAGATGTTGGTACGTCTCAGCGATGCAGTGAGGGACTCTGTAACCCAGAGCCTGTTTCCAGATGTGTTCATAGTCAACTAAAGCCCAGTCCCTCATGGTGAGCGGAGTGCGAGTTCCATCTCCATATATGACAACCTGAAGGACAGGATCCATGAAAATTAACGAAATAAAAACAATTTTTTTCTTTCAACGCCTCTGATTCAAATGTTTTTTACCACCATTAATTCTGCAGATTGTCAGCTTATTTGCTAAATGTGTTTACAGATATTCTTTGAAAATGAATAAACGTAATAAACAGAGAGTGGTGTTAATCGACTGTGAAAATATGTGCAGGATATAATATTCATTAAATGGTAATGTGAACCCATTTCCTAATCTAAATCTTTGAAATAGAAATCTTTAGTCATTTGGATGGAGGGGATGGATAATGGTGTTAGCAGCAGACAGTGATGGACAGACGGAAGCACAGTCCCAGCATTAACCCATCAGTACCTCATCATTAAAGGTGACGAGGGCCACCCTCCTGTGAGGCGACTGCTGAAGCATAAATGCAAGCGTTCTCTGGAGAGCATCCTGGATTCCCTGTTGGACGATAACAAATGAGTTAAAACCCAACTAATCCACCATAAATATTAGTTTAATTCACGCAACAACAAAAATGACACTTCACCTCTAATCTGGATATGTGCACTGTAGAACCGCTTTCTGTTGTCACCTAAAGAGCAATCATTGCAAAAATAAATATGGTGGTTTGATAAGGTCAAACACATGTGGGTGTTTCTGCAGCTCTCTTTCTCTTCTAACCTAAAAAGTTTTTTTTTTAAACACCCTGAAAAGGTTAGAATGTGCCCGCTGTCTTGCATATTAATATCAAACAGAAATATTGTTCAACCAGGTATGCACACTCCCTTTTCAGATGATAAGTTATTGATTCTCTGCAAAGTACATCTACAGCTACAGAAGCAGGAGGAATTCAGAAGATTTAAGTGAAAACACCAAAGAGGCGTTCTTTTTGAAGACGCCTGTGAAACAGAAAGCTTAGAGATTATATCTGTCGTTGAAGCTGAATCTCTGTTGTGGCACAGACAGCAGTGCTTTGACAGCTTCTCCTCAGCGTCACGTACCGCCGTTTATCAGCAGATATGAAGCTGTAACACTTGATTTTATCAGTAGCAGAATGTGGTTGCTGTTCGCAAAAACTCTTACAGAGATCTTATTTCCATTGTTTTATAGTAAATGCTGAATAGTCAGATCTTTTTGGCGTTTGCTTTTAAGTTGATCCAGAAGTTAAAGGTTTTTTTTTGTGTTTACTGTGATCTCCAAATGCAGGTAAATAAACCTCATGCTGTTTTAGAGGGTTGGGTGTCATTCGAATGCAAAAAAAACAGTAGAAAGATTGGACTGCTATTTCAGTTTCCCTTTTATACACACCTCTGTTGTGACAGTCATGCTGCCAGAAATGTCCACACAGAAAACAACCATTGTATCCTCCAGGTTCTGGTAGTCGTCTTCTCTCTTCCCTGGCAGGTAAAGGTCGTCACTGCGCACACCTGCACGCTGCCCGATGCACACTTGGGCCAAGCTTCCGTCGACACCGTTCTCAAATCCACAGAACTCGCACACCCACAGCTATCGAAGAGAGAAGCTATTCAAAATTCTGTTTCTAAAATTCGAAATTGTTTTTATTTCGCTCAACTCAACAGAGATGCAAACTTTTAATAGAAATAAAATAGGAAAACGAATACATAACTAGGCTGTAAGCATGAAATTTTTACCCTCTTCCAAACTGAGCTGAGGCATGACAGAGCAGCACTACATTTCCCACAAATCACTGGGCTCTGGAAGGTCTCCAGACCTGCATCTGCAGAACAGAAACAGGATAATTTAAGCAGAACTGTCTGAAGTTTAGTTTCTGTGTGTCGGTCTGTTTTGACCTTGACTGATGTCGACCAGCCTTCCAACCCTGAGGGAGACGACATTGATGTTTACTTTAAAGTTGTTTCCTCCTTCCTGCAAATCAACTGAAAGGAGAAACAATCATTAGTTAAAAAACTTTACAGTTTATGGCAATTTATTGCTTTTGGGGTTTGAATGAGGGCAAAATCTTACGTACGTCTGGGAGGAACAGGGGGAGGAAGGGATAAAGGAGTGACTGGAAGCTGAGAGGCGAGCGAGGAAGGATTAGGAAGGGAGGTGGGTCGAGGTTTTCTGAAGCGACGAGGAGGTAGAGGTGGAGGAAACATATCTGATGAAACAAGAAGCGTCAGTTGTTTAATGTGCATCAAAATGTTTTTTTTCTCACACCTTATTAAAAAACGGATGAGCTGCAAAAACCATATGATCTAATATCTATTATTTCTTCGTCCTGAGGATAATTAAAGTGAGCTCACGTGAAGGAAGAACACAGATCTCACTCAGTACCTTCAAGGACAGTATGCTTTAGGTCACAGGTTAGCAGAAGAAATGTCGAACTATAAATATGATGAAATACAGATGCTTGTATGACAGTCAAGTAAAGTTTGAAGTCAGCTTTTCCAGTGTGCAAAATATTAAATTCTTTGACTCTATTCCTTAGTTTATAAGAGTGCAAAGATTAAAATAATCCAGTCAATATCACTGTCTGGTATTAATATCGCTGTTATGGATGATAACTAACGTCTGCCTCTATTATACATGAAAACACCACATAATCCTATGATGCATCATCAACAATGTCACTCAACCAAACAAATAACACATCTCACAACAAATACAAAAAAACAGCTACTTAATAGAAATAAGCATTGGTTATTAATATAGGCCCAGTACTGACCCATATCAGTAAACAATGACTTAAATTGGCTGATAAAGATGGTAATGCAGATTAGTGTTACCCCTGTATAACTTAAACATTTTGACCCGATACTATATTAGCACACATTATACATCATTTTATTACCTATTTGTTGTGCAAAATCTTAGAAAACACTTAATATTTTTAAAGTAGAAAATAATAGGTATGAGTGTGGGATACAAGCATTGCTGGATGGAAAGGCTGGACCGGAATACATGATGGAGCAGAATGCTGGAGCGGAGCGCTTTTAAATTTAAGATTTTAAATGTTGATAATGCAGTATTTGGTTTTTTGGCTGAAATGATTTCCTATATCAATACCTGATCTGCAAAGCCTAATGCAGATGTATATTTTACAGCCTGGATTAAAAAATAAATACATTTTTCATTTCGTATATGCTTCTTTTTTTTTTTTTACATTTTTTTTTTATATCTTTCTTGTGGTGTGACTTTGACTCTTTTTCTGTTTCAAACTTCCTTCCTCACAATATAAATGTGTTATTTGTTGCTGTTTTATTCATTTTGTAGTCTTTCTCTAAAAAAATATAAAAAATGGAGAAAGACTTCAAGTTTGATCGGTCTTGTCTTAGCAGAGAAGCGAAGCTTAAATCGAACTTGTAGATAAACAAATACAAGGTGATAAATACTGAAAAAATAATTGGACAGTCTAACTTTTAAACCAATACTGTATTTCTTAATATATATATATATTTAACCCTTTATAGGGCAGGTTATCGTTTTTGATCCCCTTTCAAAGAAGTCCCCGTCCCTTGGTGAGGTCTAGAAGCAAAAGATCTATATCCAGCCATTCAGCAAAGATACTGCTTAATGGCTGTACAACTTATTTTGCAATTTGACTAATAAGATGAGCCCTTGAATGATTTGTTATCTACTGTAAATTAAGTAGAAAAAATGTAAAAAGGCTAATTGAAAAGTTAAAAAGTTAATAAGCCTTGGTAACAGTTATATTTAGGTTTATAAGCTAAAAAATGGAAGTGCCAGTATCAGCATTAATGCCTCTAAGGTTATGTTGTACCAAAATAAATGAGTGTTTTTCATTAATTTCTTATAGTAGCATATCGTAGTATATTCAGGTAAGATGGCGTTTCTTGTTATTACATTGACATTAATTTTTGGCATCAAAATATCCATATTCTTTTAATTTTACAAAGGTAATAAGGTCTTGTCCTGGATTCCAATAACACTATTGGCTTGAAATGTTGTTTTTCAAAGTATTTCACTTAGTGCCTCATAAAGGGTTAAAATTGATTTGTTTTGGGAGCGTTGACCTAGTGGTTAGAGCAAGTTCAATCCCCACAACCTGCACTCAGGGTCGCTGAGTCCCCACATCACTACACAATGGCAGCCCACTGCTCCCCAAGGGGATGGGTTAAATGCAGAGATAATTTCTCCAATATAAGCTCAATAAAGTTCAACCATAAATCAATTACATTGTTTTCTACCTCACTACTTCGAAACAGTTTCTTTCCAATATTGCTTTAGTGTTTCTTATGTTTTTTAAAGCTACACCTTTAACTTATTAACAAAATATTTTTTCTAAAACTGTATTTTTATTATTATGTTGTATTTTCTGTGTTTGCTCATAGTTTCCTTTAACGTTTAACCCAGCGGTCTGACTTCTATAAATGTTGTTTAGTCTGTCTTTTTCCAACTCCATTTATATTTCTCTGACATCATGGACTTTCCCCGTCTCAACCTTCATCTACACTGTCTTTCTTTTTTCCTGCTCTTGCAGGCATACCCACACACATGCAGCAATGGGGTGGCCTATTTGATGTGCTTTCCTGTTATTTTGCTGCAAAGCTCTGGAGAATATAAAATATTAAAAAAAGTCAAAAGGCGCTGGACTTTGAGTATAATGTATGTTTTTGCATGTGATTAAATGTGTGAGAAAGTTACCCATTTGCCATCCTAAACTTGCTTTGTTCTCATAGTCGGGTGCAAGCTGAGAAACATCTGCGATAACATAGAAAATGACCTTATTATCATTCTATGTTAGTTTCAAAAGTGTGTCAAAAGCAATGATGAGTTAAACAGAACGAGCAGCGTTTTTAATTCACTCACCTGCTCCATCTGGTCCCCAGTTACACACAATATGACTGCAAGCAAACTCCATCTGCAAATCATAAAGAAGCACACAAAAAAATAGAGTTCAGTTTTCACTTTCCTGACGACTTTGAAGGCATTTGACTCCAGGACGGGTAGAAAAGACATAGAATAGCAAAAAGACAAAACGAGGTACGCATCTCTGCGGGAGACAAAAATCAGCCACAACAGCAATATATAAATGACAGATAAGCTTCCCGGCATTACCCTCCTGCTTTCACAAAAAACATCTGGGCTGCTGATTCGTTTCTTTTTGCGAGTTAACAGGTGGCTGAGTAAAACCATGAAAGCAAACATTTCCTCATTTCCTGTGTAAAAAAACCTCTGAGCGAAAACAAAATAACATTCTGGTCTATTGGGGTTTAATTCATCATCAATGGGATGAGTTGGAGAGTAGAAGAGAGCTGCAGAAGTTGTGATGCTGAAACAAAAACGCCGAGCTTTAAAACACAGAACATATCGTACATGCAGAGACGCTGTCAGAGGGAATCTAACCAACAGTGAGTTTCTCTAACCACAACATAAACACAATGACCCACAGCTGCATCACTCACTGAGGAGACAAAACATTTTCAAATATATCAACCTCAAGTCATTTGTCACAGATTTTTAGCTGGCAGGATAAGAACCTGGATTTAATATGAACTCCAAAAAACAAAACAAAAAAAAACACTGGACTTTGTTTTCCAAGTTTGAAGACATTTCGCCTCCCATCCAGGAAGTTTTATCAATTGAAAATGTCTGAAAAGTGTTGAGTTCCAGGCTTTATAGAATAGCCCAACAAAGCCTTGTTATGGCTTAGAAAACATGCAAATTGCACTGAAAACAGGTTCAGCCCTTTGTAATGGGGAGTGGTTGAGGTCTTTGTTGGCCTGCAAACAACCCGATACTGGCCCATGCCTCATGTAAATAAGGCTAGATGGAGATAGTTAAAATTCTTATTGGCATGGCTTGCAGGAGCGATGTTTTGACCACCTGTACGGCGAGGATTGTGATAATAGCGGGAAGGATTCAACCTTATTGCTGCGTTGTAGATTTTTGAGAGCTGAAACCTGAGTCCACCCCCTCTGTTTAAGGTTGCTTTTTATTGTCTCTTAACATAGATGGCTTCGTTCACACCCCTTTCAAACCACTTGTCTTCTTTGTCCTGTGAAAGCATGCTTTATCTGCCTAATTGGAGTGAAAGGAAGGCTGAGAGTGATAAAAGATAAGTGTTTAAAGTTTCCTCATCCTCCTTCGTGCCGTGAACGGAAGGCAGCTGTTCTGGGGTGTTTTATCTGGCTAGTGAAAATCTATGTCCTTGATGAACTGAAGTTGTTTTTCTCCCGTTTTCGAGTGTAAGAAAGTTCTTTATGCAGGGGTGGGATGGGTCCAAGGTAGAGTGTGAGTGTTGGGATTTTTACAGTATAAATGTGTGCTGAGCTTGCCTCACTCAGAGCTTTTTCCTCTCCATCTGCAGACGTAAAATAAACCCTTTTTTCTTACAAGAATTGCCTCTGCCTCAGCTTCTAAACTCCACAGCCCAGAATGTTCACATTTCTTCTTTGTCCTTAAGGTGTAGATGGACAGCGGTCTTGTCTGGAGGAGGTTGCTCTCCTGTGTTGGACCATGCATCTGTGGAGAGGTTGTTTGGTTTCTCCAATATATCAGAGCATTCTTCACTGCATTGAACTGCATACACTAAACCGCTTATTTTAGATCTGAGGATTTTGTCCTTAGGATACACTAGCCTTTGTCTAAGGGTCTTGTTTGGTTTGAAATGTACTGGGATTTGGTGACTGGAGAAAATTCTCTTGAATTTTTTTAGAGACGCAACATATGGGATGGCGATATTTCTGTGTTTAATCTTCTCGCTGTGATGTTCTGCTGCGTGTCTTTTGGATTTCATTGCTGAATTGACAAACACCCGGTTAGGGTTATCCGGTTAGTATGAACATCTAAATGAAAAATTATTAAAGCAGACTGAAAATCATTAACCAGTCATATCAGGATATTTTCCACTTGGATTGTCCCTTTATCGCCCTATAGCTTTGCTTTTTAAACACATTGGACTGCCAGAAATATTCTTGCACTTAAATTCTTTTTTACATCAAATCACTTTGCTTGCTCACATTTTAACAAATTTCATCAGCATGTTATATAACAGAGATGTATAATTAACAAACTGATGTTTTTCCTCTCAGATTCTAGTGTGGGATACGTTTCCTGGCATGATGTCTGATCAGTCTTGGCTCCAAGGACCACCGTACGTGTTTGTTCATGTATCCATCCATCCATCCATCCATCTTCCTCCGCTTATCCGGGGTCGGGTCGCGGGGGCAGCAGCCTAAGAAGGGAGGCCCAGACTTCCCTCTCCCCAGCCACTTCTTCCAGCTCTTCAGGAGGAACCCCAAGGCGTTCCCAGGCCAGCCGAGAAACATAGTCCCTCCACCGTGTCCTGGGTCTTCCCCAGGGCCTCCCACCGTGGGACGTGCCCGGAACACCTCACCAGGGAGGCGTCCAGGAGGCATCCTAACCAGATGCCCGAGCCACCTCAACTGGCTCCTCTCGACATGGAGGAGCAGCGGCTCTACTCCGAGTCCCTCCCGGATGACCGAGCTTCTCACCCTATCTCTAAGGGAGAGCCCAGCCACCCTACGGAGGAAACCCATTTTGGCCGCTTGTATCCGCGATCTCGTTCTTTCGGTCATGACCCAGAGTTCATGACCATAGATGAGGGTAGGAACGTAGATCGACCGGTAAATCGAGAGCTTCGCTTTTTGACTCAGCTCTATCTTCACCACGACGGACCGGTACAGCGCCCGCTTCACGGCAGACGCTGCACCAATCCGCCTGTTGATCTCCCGCTCCCTTCTTCCCTTATTCGTGAACAAGATCCCGAGATACTTAAACTCCTCCACTTGGGGCAGGACACCCCCCCTGACCCGGAGAAGGCACTCTACCCTTTTCCGGCTCAAGACCATGGCCTCGGATTTGGAGGCACTGATCCCCATCCCGGCCGCTTCACACTTGGCTGCAAACCGATGTAATGTATACATTATCAAACCTGAATATTCTGGGATTTGAATTCTTGTATGTTCTTCAAATTAAATTCAGACCCTATTATTATCAGTTTTCACTTTTATCATAGATTTGAAATTGGATTTAATTCTAGGCTTTGACTAGGCCATTCTGCACATGAACTGTCTTAAATCTAAATCATTCACTTGTTGAACTGTCTGGAAATTTGGAAGCTCCTCATGCTTGTGGTAAAGAGCTTTACTCACAGGTCTTTTGTGCAGGTTTTTCAGCATCCTTAAACCCTGCTGAGCAAATAAATCCCCCCAGGGTGATGCTGCCACCACCATGCCTCATGGGGGAGATTGTGTTTTCACATTGATGTTGAGTTTTTTTTTCTTTCCATCACAAATGTGTTTTTTTATTGTTTTCCAATTAGAAATGTACTTAAACTTTAATCAGCAAACACGTCCACAGTAAAATAAAGTAGGATTCAACTTTTTATTGCCATTAGATTGTGACAAGTACAAATCAACAAAATTAACTCTCTGCATTTAACTCATCCCCTTGGGGAGCAATGGGCTGCCATTGTGCGGCGCCTGCAGGGGCAGTGTGGGGTTAAGGGTCTTGCTCAGGGACCCAGAGTGGCAGTCCGTGGGAGCGGGGCTTGAACTCAGAACGTCTTGGATCCAAGCGCAATGCCCTAAGCACTAGGCCACCACTCCCCAATAGCATGATGCCAATATTATATTTTATAAGGAAGGAAAAGGTGTTTTCTTTGTGCTATGCAGAGCTAGTTGTACACATCATACACAACATTTAGATTAAACGTGTATCGCTAAAAGGATGCAAAGGGTATGCATGCTTTTCATTACATGCCCATCTAGTTTTGATACTCATTTGCAGGGCTGCCAACTTCTCACCAAACCTTGGAGTGAGATTTTGAAAGAATTTAGACGTGCAACCCTTGCAGGGTTAGATGAGGACAGGCGCAGCTAGAGGTTTTAGGTTTTCAGAGGATTTAACTGAAACAAAGTTGTAAAATATTGAATTTCTATAGCACAGTAAAAGTTACTAAGTAACAATAATTGATCTGTAGTTATGTGGAACATTTTTCCACACAATATACATTATTTTGTATATTCTAGTGATTTTTAGAGGATTGAAGTAAAGAGGTATGGGCCCTACTAAAATATTTGCATCTTAAATATACTGTGAACAAAGAATTTCAAAACTGTGTTTATTAATTATTCTATGCAGTTCAAGAAATATAACCAATGGAGAAATAATATGTTATTATTGGATTACACGCACTGATACAGGAACCACTGAAATCGAATCCTGTGCAAACTACGCTGTGTATGAATATTTGCTAATGGGCTACAGTTAAAAAAGCTTAAGTTATTATTATTATTTTTTTTTGCAATTGACAAAACAGCTGAACTATTCAGACCTTCTAGGGGGCTGTAGATTCAATAAAAATGTACCATGACACAAGACGGCACTTTTGTGGATGTTTGATTTTGGTAGATATCATGTAATTTATGTTTTAAACATATTTAATGGACCAAAAATAAGAATACATGAATAAGATAAGTAATGATAAAATAAGAATGTCATTACAGTATGTGTTAGCACTAAGGTTGTGTTGAAAACGCGGACTGGATTTTTATCACCATGGTATTTTTACATATAAATAAGTGGAATGGAGTTGGATTTTAATGTTCAACATTTTTCAGCATGAAAAATTGGGGATACGGAGTGTGAGCATGTGAAAACACTGAGATACCTGAGTCTCACACCCAGTGGGGGAGAGTTGACAGCCCTGCATCTGTGAGATCTTGGCCTTTCTACAGGAAATGGCAAATTGGCAAAAACTTAATAAACTGAACATGATGAAATGAACATTTGTAACTCTGCAGATCTGTTCTCAGTTGTTTCCCCTTAATGTAACTGCAGAAATGATTATGTCAACTCTTTAGAAGGTAAAATAAAAAGACAAAAAGCCACAATATAGGCCTATCCAGTCGAGTGTTTGTCATTAAGAACTCTCTCACATTTGTAAAAGTTTGATAGAAAGAAATTAATTAAAAACAATTCATCTCCCAAATCAGGAAACTGTTCTCATCAAATAATTGTATTTGCCTTTATTTTACTAAATGTTTTCATGAGAAGGCCTTAAATATATTTCCAAAAACATATTTATAACAATTATGTCTCAGCCTGTGTGTTTGAGTTTAGCAATCAGGAAAAGATCAACAATGAGGCTGATTACTTTCATTTTTAGGCATTAACAACGCTATCATGAACCTGCTACCTGCTGCATGTTAGCACAATAAAAAAATTATAATTAAAGAAACAGTGGTTCTGCTTTTATTGTGAAAACCTGATAGTCAGGTGATAACAGGGGCTCACAGGGAATAATAATACTTTCATGATTTCTTTAAATTATCAATTCTAAAGTTAAAAAAGGGGTCTTCATAGTGTTATTTTCATTTAAAAAAAAGTTTGGTCTTTGATTGTGTTGATTTTATAAATTTAATTGGAGAACTTTAGGACATCTAGCCTCATTTAATGAAACCATCTACAATACAATCTGACCCAAGTTAAGCTATCATGTTTTTCCTCATTTTACAGCCAGAACTCATTAGCGTGATTATCTTCCATAAATCTTGTAGTAAACTTTCTCTCAAAAAGGTATATTGAATGTTTAAAAAAAAAAAATGAATCCATTTTTTTTTTTGCATTTTTTTTCTAAACCTTTTATCCACAAACATTTCTTAACACTGTTTTTACATATCAATTATACTATTAGTGTATTTCATTGGGATAGTGTTTGATAAACCAAAACCTGCTGCAACCAGACTCATGCAACAGCAATGTATAATATGCAATTACTATTTGAGACACTATGCATTAACCTGCTTCTCTATAATTAACACCCAGTACAATAACTATATATACAAATATCTATCTATATAAATGCCCATTTAAACACATAAAGGCTGTCATATGTGAACGCATTGTATATACTGTATATATCCCATGCAACTTTTTCTTCCTTTTGCACCTTCTTCTTCTCCTTTGAGTATTTTAGCTGCTGTAACGAGTAAATTTCTCCACTGTGAGATCAATCAATCAATCAATCAATCAATCAATCAATCAATCAATCAATCAATCAATCAATCAATCAATCCAAATCCAAGGGAAGGGAAAATTTAATCTGGGTCAGAGGTCATGGTCACCCTGGATCATATTAGGAAGACATGAGCATAAGCCATTGTTGAAAGAAAGTCATAAGGTGTTTTGTTTTTCATATGAAATATTGGAGACCCCATAGGCTTTGGCCTGAGAAGACAAAAACTGAACTTGCTGACCCAGATGCAAATGTGAGAAGGAAAATTACCCCCATGCTTCACATGAAAAGCATCATCCCCACACGGTGGTGGCAGCATCAGCGCTGTTTGTTCCCGCAGTGACAGTGAAGCTTGTCAGAGCTGGATGAAAGATGGATGCAGCCAAATAGTGAAAAATCTCATCGGAAAACCTTCTAAAGAGGGAAGCAGACTTGAGACGGAGGTGGAGGTCTGAACACAGCCTGAACTCAGCGAGGGCTTAGATCTAACAGTCACGTTTTAGAATGATCTAAAGTCCAGACCATTATACAATATATATGCGAAAACTGCTTTTTACAGATGTTCTCCATATAATCTGTCTGAAAATAATTTGAATAAATAAACATGGATGACACACTCCTTAGATCTCGTTTCTAAAAAAAATGTGATGTCAATGTCAATGTCAACCATTTTTAGTTTTCTCCATATCCTTTCAGTTTTTGTTGCGTAACTTAAACTCCTCTTCTAATATAAAGATATTTAGGATAGTAACACACAAGATAAGAAAAAATTATAAAAAGTGGCATAAGGATTTTTTTGCAGGGGGTGTAACACACTAAAAAACCAAATCATCTACTCTGCGTCATAGAAGTCTGACAATACTGACTCAGGTTTCTGGCCTTCACTTTGTTACACTCTGAGGAAGGTTTGTTGGTGTCCTTAAACCTTCCTGATACAGCATTTTCTCTCTAATTTGGCCCTATTCAAACGTCTTTCTGTTTTAAAGTCCCAGAAATGGCTCTGGTGTGTTGCATTCAGGACCCTCATTTGTGTTGGACTATTTACTGTTAAAGTTACATGTTCGATTTAATTTGAAACGATCAGGCTGCCGCCCACTCAGTTTCAGAAAACTAGAGCTATAACTGCGACATAAAAGCTTTATTGTCTGAAAATATGATTTATACATTTAACCAATATATCAGTCCATAGCAAATATTTTTATTCTGTATGAATGTGGTAATTTATGATGCAGATGTCAAAAAGACACTTTAGAATTAAGATGTTTTCTCATTATAACACATACATTTAATTCCTTTTGTCCAGGTGGAAGCTCTGAGCTTCAAAACTGTTAATTATCATGGATTTAAAATTTTAAAACAATTTATTGGACTCACCGTTAGTAGTTTTTTAAAATCACAAACTTCTGCGTTGCTGATTTTTTTAGTGCATGAATCAGTTCTCCGGCCTTCCTTTAAAATCACACACTGCGGATTGCTAGGTAACACAAACATCATCCTCCCGTAGGTCCAAGAGTTTTAAATAACTCAATCAAGTGGTTATTGTAGAGTTTAAAAAAGAAAATGCTAATTTTTTACGTTTTCTTTTTTGAATAAATATCGTTGTAGTTATTGGAAGTGTTGTTTTGGTGTTTGCCAGTCAATAAACTAAAAGCAGCAGCAGGATGTTAAACTGCTTTTGCTCAGATGTCAGCTTCATATACTTACAGGTAATGCAGATTTTGGGGATTTTTTTAAAAGAGAAAAATAATTTTGAAAGATGAAACCGTTTGGATATTTCAGTTTCTATAAAATATGTTCAATACAATCAATATGAATTAAGATTATGGTACAAAATGATAAATTCCCCTAAAACCTTCAAATTCCAGCAGCGATGCTTGGCTATGGAGGCTTCTCAGCTCGACAACATCCACAATGCACAGTAGAACAAGGAGAAACTCACCTTTGTCGTGGTCTGTGTGCAACAAGCAGTTTCAAAAGCAGAAATCTTTTGTCTGTCATGCAGCAGGCTGGTGGTATGCATGTGTGGGTGTGTTCACAGTGTGGGGAGCAGCGTTTTGTGTGTCAGGAAGTCGGTGCACGGCTGGAGGTTGAGAGAAACACCAAGATGTAAAACATAAGAGGAGGAGGAGGAGAGAAAGCGGGCTGGTATCTACTGTCTGTTTTTATTAGAAAAGATCATGATTGATTTCATACTATGAGCTGTTTTGTCTATAGCTGATAGATTTAAGCCGTCTGTCTGTATTTTAATAATCTTGGCATTGTAGTTATCCAGCTTCTATAATAGACAAAGCGGCGCATGGGTTTGATTTTTTTTTTATTCATTTATAAACAAGATGAAAGATGAAACCACTTGGATAGAATAACAAAAACTGAGACCCTAAGAAGTTTTCAACAGATGTCTAAATGCCATTTGAAATGAGAAAAAGATCCTTTATCTATATGGAACTATCCTCCCAAAGTGTTCAACACAGTGGAGACAGTGTCATGCTTTGGGCCTGCCTTCATTCAGCTGGGAAAGTAACCAGCTTTTATGGTAGCTATAATGGAGCTGCTGTATATACAAAGGAGAATCGTGGAGAAAAAGCTTTAACAGGATGTAGAAAACTTTGGGACTGAGGTGGACGTTCACCAACCTTTAACGTAAAACTTAGGATGTGACATTACATTAAAGCATACGCATCAAGGACATAGAGCAGACAGACTTAGAGTTGTTTGAGAAACAAGAAACAACCTGACCCTTTCTCTCTAAACTGAGTCCAAGGAACTTAAGCAAAGAAAAAACAGGCAGACATTTTAGTCTCTAAATGTGCAACTCTGGTAGACAGATCCCCAAGACTGCAGCTTTAATTGCATCAAAACGTGGTTTTATAAAGTGCTGGCTATGGGCGGCTGAACTCAAGTACACCCCAAACGATTCCTAACATCCTGTTCCTTCTACTTCATGGTGCATTACTTTAAGATGATCCTTCACCATGTTAAATTCAGATCGAACATGATAAAGATCCAGGGCTACAAATACTCTTGCAAGAAGCTTTACAGAGGCTTATTTTACTATTGTAAGACAAAATACACAAAATTACCTCCTTATAGTATATCATCTTTTATTAGTGCATTCCACAACATTACAGTAAAGAGAAAAGAGATGAATAATCAGTAAAGATGGAGTGTAAATAATTCAGATTAACCTGATTTGAAATCATAATGACGATTACTGGCCCGTGGCTCTGATCTGTGAATTATATTTAAAATGTGGTTACAGAGAAAATCTTAAAAGTTTTAATTGAGATGAAAAATAACTTTTTTTTTAGCGCTCACTGTCAAAATGAAACCCAACATTATTTCCAGTGAAGTTTTGCTGTCGTTTTTTTTCCAGTAAAGTTTGTTACATAATAGAAAACTATGAAAACTACTGCGTAGTTTACTGTTGGTTCAATTTTAACAAGGATAAAAGAAAAACACATTGATAGTAGGTAATTTCTGAAAATAACTGCAAAAAAGAAACTAGAATTTTAAATGGAAAGAAAAAAAATCAGGAAAACGTCAGATTATATAAAAAAAAGGTTATTTCATAAAGTCAGAGCTCAAAGGTCGCCCTGCACACCTACAGGTTTTAGGGTTTCGAACAAACACGTGTTGCATGTGAGCTTGGTGCATAAATGAAATCAAACTATTTGCTTATTTTTAAGTTGGAACAAAAAACTTATAAACAGAAAAAAAAGAAATCAAGATTTTATCAAATGAAATTGAATGAATTAATTTTATCTTAACAAATGAAACAGGTAATTGTTAAGATGACAGTTCATTTTCTCACTGAGATGTCAGGTTCTAAATTCTAACCTTAACAATAAAAAACATGCAGCTGGTGAAAATTTGAACGGAAACATTGATGGGTCCTCGTTCACCCTACAAAAGATTTTCAAATCAAATCAAAAGCTAATCTTAAACATTTTCTCCGTCTTTTATTTCCAAAAAGGAGAATCTACTCTATAATCTCATGGTTAGTCTCATACTTTGTACCAATAAAATCGATAAAAAGTAGAACCAACAACATAACAGCAGCAAAATGGTTTGGAATATATAAAATATCAAATAAAATCTATAAAAATGGACATTATATTGGTTTATTCTTTATATTTGTGTCTTTAGTTAAGGGCAACATTTATCACCAGCTGATCATTTTCAAAGCTTACTGTTAAAAGAAAATATATATTATTTTCTATTTTGATACATTTTGAAATTTCAATAAACGAGAATGCAAAACATTTCTTTTTATGTAAAGAAAAAAAATAATAAAGCTGCAAAACACAATTGGCTTATTGTATTGTAAGGCACCTCTAAGGTATTTTCTAAATTTAAGGATATAGTTTACGGGGTTTATCTAACACTTTATGTCAACAAATATCAAAACAAATAGGTAATTATAGAAAAAACATTTTTCATTCATTTCCAGAGTTTTTATTTTGTTAAAATGGTCCAATAAATCAAGCGATATCCCAGTTTTTTTTCCTCACTTCTCTTCCTTCAGTGTCTCTTCTATGGCTCTCAGTATGGCGGCTACAGCCACGGCGCCGGGGTCGGCCAGCGTGACTCGTTCTGCAGCGATGTAGCTGGCCCGCCCGGCCCTGGCTGTGAGGTCACGGGTTGCCTCCGCACCCGCAGCTGCTTTCTGCGGAGTCAGACAACATTTTAACTTCCTTGTTTTTTCCACTGAAAGCTTCATATTTAGTTTTACCCAGTTAAAAGGAATCCATGAAATACATTTACCCCTTGTTTCCATTTGTCTAAAAGTGGCACATTTATGTAAATAGATAGTAAAGGTGAGAAGATAATGTCAAACTGCATTATTCTACCTGAACAGCAGCATGTAGGATAGCCGTCTGTCCAGCAGGTGGTGCTGTGCTCAGCTTCATGAGCTCCTCAGCAGCAGGACACAAAGCATCCAGCTACAGATTGAGAACAGAAGTGAGTTTAAGGACAAACAATGCCAACTTTAACAGTAAATTATATCACAACTGATCCACAGGTCATCATCTCTCACCATTGTTCTATCTCCAGGGTCGGCACCTCCGTACCTGACAAAAACATTATTTTATACATAAATGTTTTTGCTCAAAATTTTTTTGAGGAAAGTAAAAAAAAGAAAACAAAGACTTTTTTAAAGCTAAAAAAAATCTACTATAACAGATTAACAGCTAGTATTAAAGCAAATCTAAAATTTTACTCGTTTCACTTAGTTTGCCTTAGGGTTTTTAATATCCTGTAATTTTGTGGATTAGACTGTTAGATTACATTTTTTTCTTCATATACAGGAAGAAAATGAACTTAAAGGTTCATAAAGAGATGAAGCATGGCTGAATTCATCATTAAATAACTTCAAACAATAAAGTAAAAGTGGTGCATTTGCATCATTTTGCAAAATCAAGCTGAACTAAGGCCCTAAAATGAACTCTGATGATCTGATACTGCTGAAGGTTCTATTTGCAGTTTAAAACCAAAAGGAAATGTGGGTTGAGAAACTCCCACAAAGAGAAGAAAACACAACACAATCTGTCATTTAAGTTTTCTTGTTCTTAATATTTGGTCTTCTGCATTGTTCAACACCAGTTTGATCACATATGGATGACTTAACTTAATCAGGTCTGTTAAATGTATTTAAGCCTTCTATAGGAATACTTTATGCATTTCAATCAAAATGCAGTATTACTGTAACAAGAGAGTTAAAAAAGCAGCAACTATCATGATCTTGGCACTGATGACTGGCTTAATTATTTATTCCGTTCACCTATCTAACTCTGCCCGGTTCCTAATCACTGCTCACATATCCACCTGCTCCTGCCTCTTTTTAATGTGCTTGCATCCAGTCATCAGGGCCAGATTATTCTCATGCCAGTGGCGAGATGGTTTAGTGTACCTGATTGTTATTCTGATTACCTGATCCTTACCTGTTCTGCCTCTCAATAACTAAGCCTGCATGTTCCGATCTGAACGTTTTGCCTGACCTACCTTCGGACCTTTTTTTTCTGTTCTGACTCTTCTTCAACTCCCTGCTCTGTCCCTGCTCTGCTATGTCTTGTCTTTTCTGAGCTTTCTCTTTATATCACCCAAATTCAAACAATGGATCTGGTCAGCTGGTCTTTCAATGCAATTGTTAGGTTTATTCAATGATAATTATTAAAGTAATGTGTGTTCATATGAAACATTGTAGAAATGTCAGTGGAGGATGTGGAAGATGCATGGATTTTATGATTTATGATACTCAGATTTCTCCTGTTTGGATATGGAGGATATCTGATGTATCTACAATTACAGAGGATGTCAATTTGCGCCGGCAACGGTTAACACGCAAACAAAGGCTGTAAACGAGCAGGACCGGGAGCTGAGCCGTATGCTGGGTGCGACTGAAAGCAAGCTGGCTGTGTGGAATTTCTCCACTTGAGATCAATAAAGTCTATCAATATCAATAACGATTATTTCAATAATTGATTCATCTGAATAATTTTTCAGCCCTAACTCATACATCGTCATCCATCTCGGTACCTTCTCATGGCTTGTGTCCCAGCATGCACTGCAGTGGCCCAGGCAGCACCATTGCTCCGCCCCTCAGTCACATGACCAGCAGCCGTGGTGAGGAACAGACTGTAAAGCTAAAGGACACAGAAGAGTGAACACAATGCACTGAATAATAACTAAACGCAACATTTATTTTACCACATAATCTTATTACTTTCTTTTGGATACAAAGCAACACATTTCAAGCTTTTAACGAAAAATACTACTACTAACAACTTAAATAAAATATCTAAATAACATTCTCATTCTCCAAGTTATTAAGTCTTAGTTTTAAAAGGTATTTTTAATTATACCTTAAATTTTAATTTGCTGTGTTTTGATTTCATCAGATGAGATTGATTTAGGATTTGAACATTAACATCATGCTCTGTAACCATAGAAACCAAGGATAACATCCAGCTCAACAGCAGAAGCCAAAAAAAAAAAAAAAAACTTGTTATAAATTAAAATGTAGTAGATCATATCTATTAAGTCATTTAAAAAGGTATTTTATCTAGTGTGCTAACTCTACCATCTGTTTTTATTTCATTTAAGGAAAAATACAAACTTTAAGCTATTGTATTTGTTTTGGATATACAGTTTTTTTAATGTTCAACTCAAAAACTTTTATTTTCATTGTATTTTTCAGGCTTTCAGCTTCATGTATTAATCCTCTCTCCTTTTTAATAAAAATCAATATTTCCAAGAATAGTTGTTAAGCATTCTTAGAGTTTTTCCCTTCCCGTGAATTCTCCTAAAAAGTCAAAAGAACCTATGAGTGTTTATAGAACTTTCAGTAAAAAAATATATGGAGAAAAATGTGAATAAAACCGGTAAAAACATCTAAACATAAATGAGGATGAGATGTTCATTATTGTTCTTTTTTACTCGGAGGAACTGATTGAAAGAGGTCTGCTTTGGATTTCTCGTCTAACGATTACATTGCAAATAAACTTGCCGTACCGCTCCAGAGGATCCGCCCATCTTCTCCTCCACTAATCCAGCAAGGACTGAAAGCAGTCGCCCTGGGCAACCGGGAACCACATGGTCCTGGAGCCACTCTTGAATAGCTGTATGAGAAAAAAATTGAAGTGTTTTAACTTGAGCATCCTCCTCCTCAGAGGTCGGACAACAACAGTGTCTTCAGTCAGAGGCTTCTGCAGAGCCGCTGTAAGACAGACCACTACAGGATATCCCTCCAGTCTGCAGCTGTCAGCTTCTACAACAACTTGTAGAAGACAATCCTTTTATATTAGGTAAAATAATATAAATTTTCCCTATATGATTAATAATTTTCAATAATGAATTTTTATATTGGAATGAACTGGAGAGGTTTTGCTTTCACTCTTTGAAAACTCCCAATGTCAGACTGGCTTTTTGCCGTTTTCCTACCTCTGGCAGCCTGAGCATGTGTGTTACCACAGTCTCCATCCCCAGAAGCCCGATCCAGAGAGTTGAGTTCCTCCTGTTTTTCCACTAATGTGGAACAAATCTTGTCCAAAACTTTGCGCATCACAGGACTCAGGGGCCCTTGCGGATAAACACAAACAAACATGCATAAAATAACAGAAAAAACCCCCCAGAAAATATCATTGTACACAAAGTAAATTTTTTTATTCATGCTCTTTAAAGAAGAAATTGAATTGGTTCATAAACAAATATTACATCAAAGGACAGACTTAAGATGAAAATGTTTTTAGAAATAACTAAATAACTTGTAGGAGCTTTAAATACAGCAGTTATTTCAAAATTAGATATTCTTACATAATGTAGAGGTTGTAAATAACTTAACTGACCTTGTGAGTGTTTGTCATCCTGTGGCCGGGTGCTCATAACAGGAGCTTCTGTGGTGTAGTTGCGTCCACTCACACTTGCAGTGCTGAGGTTCGGCCACGCGGGGGCGCTGGTCTTAGCATCTGAGGTGAGAAATGGAAGATCGATATCAGGCAGTTTTGGTTGCTGCAAGATCCTCATCCTGCACGACCCAAAACTAAACTTACAGCTACTACACTCACAAAGGGAAGGCTGGAAGAAAGAAATCAGAGAACAAAAAAGAAAAAAATTAAAGGGCCTACATCATACCTTTTTAAGCGTTCCAAAGTAACTTTGTGCCGCTGCCCATCCTTTTATGCATACCACCCATACTATGATATTATTGTTTGAGGTAACCATCTTCTATTCCTTCCCCTTTCACCACAAACTATACAGGTGCTGGTCATAAAATTAGAATATCATGAAAAAGTAGATTGATTTCAGTAATTCCATTTAAAAAGTGAAACTTGTATATTATATTCATACATTACATACAAACTCATATATTTCAGATGTTTATTTTGTTTAATTTTGATGATTACAAATGACAACAAATGAAAATCTCAAATTCATCATATCAGAAAATTAGAATATTGTGAAAAGGTTCAAAATTGATGGCCCCTGGTGCCACACTCTAATCAGCTAATTAACTCAAACCACCTGCAAAAGCCTTTAAATGGTCTTTCAGTCTAGTTCTATAGGCTACACAATCATGGGGAAGACTGCTGACTTGACAGTTGTCCAAAAGACGACCATCGACACCTTGCACAAGGAGGGCAAGACACAAAAGGTCATCGCTAAAGAGGCTGGCTGTTCACAGAGCTCAGTGTCCAAGCACATTAATAGAGAGGCGAAGGGAAGGAAAAGATGTGGTCGAAAAAGTGTACAAGCAAGAGAGATAACCGCACCCTGGAGAGGATTGTGAAACAAAACCCCTTCAAAAATGTGGGGGAGATTCACAAAGAGTGGACTGCAGCTGGAGTGAGTGCTTCAAGAACCACCACACACAGACGTATGAAAGACATGGGTTTCTGCTGTCGCATTCCTTGTGTCAAGCCACTCTTGAACCACAGACAGCGTCAGAAGCGTCTAAAGAGAAACAGGACTGGACTGCTGGTGAGTGGTCCAAAGTCATGTTCTCTGATGAAAGTAAATTTTGCATTTCCTTTGGAAATCAAGGTCCCAGAGTCTGGAGGAAAAGAAGAGAGGCACTTCATCCACGTTGCTTGAAGTCCAGTGTAAAGTTTCCACAGTCAGTGATGGTTTGGGGTGCCATGTCATCTGCTGGTGTTGGTCCATTGTGTTTTCTGAGGTCCAGGGTCAACGCAGCCACATACCAGGAAGTTTTAGAGCACTTCATGCTTCCTGCAGCTGACCAACTTTTTGGAGATGCAGATTTCATTTTCCAACAGGACTTGGCACCTGCACACAGTGCCAAAGCTACCAGTACCTGGTTGAAGGACCATGGTATCCCTGTTCTTAATTGGCCAGCAAACTCTCCTGACCTTAACCCCATAGAAAATCTATGGGGTATTGTGAAGAAGAAGATGCAATACACCAGACCCAACAATTCAGAAGAGCTAAAAGCCACTATTAGAGCAACCTGGGCTATCATAACACCTGAGCAGTGCCACAGACTGATCGACTCCATGCCACGCCGCATTGCTGCAGTAATACAGGCCAAAGGAGGCCCAACTAAATACTGAGTGCTGTACATGCTCATACTTTTCATGTTCATACTTTTCAGTTGGCCAACATTTCTATAAATCCTTTGTTTTTATTGGTCTTCAGTAATATTCTAATTTTCTGATATGATGAATTGGAGATTTTCATTTGTTGTCATTTGTAATCATCAAAATTAAACAAAATAAACATCTGAAATATATGAGTTTGTATGTAATGTATGAATATAATATACAAGTTTCACTTTTTAAATGGAATTACTGAAATCAATCTACTTTTTCATGATATTCTAATTTTATGACCAGCACCTGTATTATGTACATCTTTACGTCACACATAGTTCACCAAAAGCAAGCATGTATTTTTGTGGATTTTTGTGTGGTTAGCCATGTTTATACATTATTTGATGCAACAGATTGAAATGTTGCAATCTCCCTATGTTAAAGAAACCATGATGGGAAGCATACTGGCTGCTTTTCCTACCTCCACTCTTAATGCCAGCACTAATAATGGCAGCAGCTGATGCACTTTTGCTTTCGCTAGAGAGCCCTTCCTTAAAGGTATAGAGGACAATCTTTTATTTCCGGGTGGATCATCTAAATAAGTGGTCCTCCTAATTGTCAATCATTCTGGTGATATTGTTATGTAAGGCAGTCCTACGTGTTCGTCCCCAGTTAGCTATCTTTTTCTGTGCATGTGCACTTTCAGCCGTATACATATGGTGAACTACAGTTTCAGACAGTCATTGAAGCTCACCTTTCTCACTGCGGTTCTTTGAAAATGGCCGAGGGTCGTAAGAAGAAAAGTGTCTACGAAGTGTATGAGGCCTCAGAAGAGGATGTGGAGAAATAGGCTCGTGTACACTCTCACACGCGTTTATTAGGCATTACCTCTTGGGAGCGAGTAAAGAGTTGTGCATGTACATTTTTTTTAAAGATGGAGAGGACTAACCTGACTCCGCCAGATGGATTTGCTCTGCATATCCATCTGGAAACCTTCCGTTGAAGTAATTTTGGGAAGGGGCAAAAATACTGGTTAGCTGATTGGCCTATGTTGGTGATAGACGGGCCAAATAAACCAATCAGATCAACGAAGCATATGACGTACTAACAGAGCAACGACAAAAACACAACCACAAGCCAGGCTACTCTTGACGAAACCAGTCGGGAGAAGAGCAAAAACATCTCTTCCTCTGAGAAAAGCCTCCAGAGCAGTGTCTTGCTCTTCTTTCAGTGAAGAAATACGGTGTAATTCCGATAAAACTTGCTCGATAGCCACGCTAACGCCAGTTTCATCGGCTGAAGCCGCCATGTTCTTTAGACTGAACTGTCGCGCTTCTCGTTGCATCACACCTCAGCCCGCCTCAAAGCCAACGCTGATTGGACGTTCGTTTGGTAAACGGCTCCAAATTTTCTTTAACGGAGAGTCTCCAGACTGATTAGCGAGTGAAACCTTGAAAGCTCGCAAGATCAGGATGGTCTCACGAGGCTATGAGAGAGCAGGGATTTAAAAAAAAATAATAATTACGAAAATCTTCCACTATACCTTTAATTTGCAGTACTCAGTCAAGCCTGAGATCTCAGGCAGCCAAAGAAATGCCTTTTTACATACAGTAGTAGATGTGAATTTATAATAGAACAGTTGCTGTCACTGTGCAGATTAGCTGCCAATTCAGACATTTATATGTGCTTTGCCTGTTTTTTTACTGGGCAGGTGTAACGCCATTGAAACAGGTTTTTCCTGGAGGGGACAGCTAATTCATGCTTTAGGTAGAATAGTGATGGCTACTAACTTTCCAGGGAAGGAAGTAGGCACTGCTCGGAAAGGGGGATTACTTAGACATGTATGAATAAAGCTAAATATGAGTTCTGGCATGATATTGACAAATGAATAGCAATTTAATAAAGTTAAAAGCTCAAAAAAGTTTATTTTGGTCCTTTAAAAATCTTTTAGCTTTGAAATTAAATTAAGCTAGATACATACGGTAATTTATACTTTAAAATTATACGTAAGTTACTTAGGAAAAACAAACATTGAAACAACCATTGAATTAAAGATGAATCTGAAACTGCAGTCACAGTTTTAGCTCCACTGCCCGCTTCAGTGTTTAGCCAAGTTTCAATACAGAAGACTAAAATATACCGAGCTGTTTTTCCACGTACTTTCCCCCAGCCCACTGCCTCCCAGGGGAGTAAGGAAATCGCACACAACAAAATTCACAGATGCTGTTTCTTGTTTGCAGAAAGGTTCCCCTTAAAAGATATTTCAATTTACTCATCTCATAACCCAAACTGCAAATTGTAAAGTTGAAATTCATTAATAAGTATTTAGCTGAGATAAAGAAAAACAATATCCTTTTTTATTGTTGATGTTCTTTCCAGATATTAAAATTACTTTCCTGTGTAAGCTGTAATCAAAGCTAAAATACCTTAAGATTTAGTTAATTTAGTGGTGTTTCTTAGGACATTATGTACTTTCTAACATAAAAAAGCAAAAATAAAGAAAGAAAATAAATGTAACCTCAAACTGTAAACATTTTCAACACTTTAATACTGTTTCTTCTAAAGTAAACATGTCAAAGACAGAGCATGGAGGTCTATTAAAATAGATCTATGTGGCTCAGAGCTCACCGAACAGTCTGAGTATTTCAGGGTCGGCTCTCATCAGGGTCAGCGACACTCCCGCCATCTCCAGTGATGTCATGAACGACCCAGACATCACCCTGGCAACCACCACCCCACGGCTCTCTGCAACCATTAAAACCATCAATCAGCTTCCAGACTAGCATGAGACCAAACATGGAGATTTAACCCCCAGAGACCTCATCGAAACATTTGAAATAAAGTGAATAAAATTATGAAACTGGTTAGGCTGTCTGTACAAGTCAGACAGCTAATCATGTAATTAATGTGTATTAGATGCCCTTTTTTTTAGTATGAACATAAAACTTTTGACAGATAACTCTTAACAAACATTTTCATAAAGGAAGAAAAAGAAAAAACATAATTCGGGATTATCAGTTAGGATAAATCGGCCAATCATCAATTAGGCAGATAACTTTAGAAGCTGCAGAAATATCTGTTAGAAACTTTTCCAGACTTTAAGTGAAAGCATTCCACCTCAATATAAAGATGATTCAGGCTTTTAATCCTCTTGGCTTTATGCTATGATTCATCTGTGTCCCTTTGCAGAAAGACTGCATTAGAAATATGATCCATCATTACAGCTTTCTAAATGTCTTTCATGAAAACCATCATTAACTTTAGCAGTTACCAAACCTGATAGAGCAGTTTCAATGTGTTTAACTTTACAGTCGTGATGAAAAAATGCAAAGAAAACAATCAGTTTCCTTTAAATCCAATGTATGCAGATGTGGATATTTATATTTTTTCTTTGGGGCTGAGTGTGTGTGTGTGATGGGCTATTATAACCTGAGTCTGTTTAGAAGAAACATTATCATCCTGTTTTTAGCTTTTAAAAGTTATCCAAAAAATAACCCAAACAAAAAACTCATAAAAAAAAACAGCAAATAACCCAAAAAAACAGATTAACAAGCCACAAAAATCTCTTAACGTTGCAAAAACTGAAATATACAATTCTGAAAAAAAATAACCTCACATTTTAATAGTAGCGAGTTCAGGAAAATAACCAAATAAAACAAACACTGATTTAAAGTAGGGCTAAAACAATTAAACAGATTAAAAACAGCTTTTTGGTACTCTGACCCCACAGCATGGAACAATCTTCAGAAAGACTGGAAGATGAAGGATTTGATTCCAATCGGACATTTTAAACGATTGCTCAAAGGGTTGGAAATGAGATCTATGGTTTGTAACTGTTTTATAAACTTCTATTTATAGATAGATGCCATTGTAAACTGTAATGTAATTTGTAATGTAATCTTTTGCCGCTGTCTTGGCCAGGACTCCATTGTAAAAGAGATTGTTAAGCACAATGGGACTTACACTGGTTAAATAAATAAAAAAAATAAAAATTGTGATTAATGGATTATTGTAATAATCCTCAACTGATTTAGTAATCGATGAATTGATAACATTATGCAATTATACAAAAATTGTAAAAAAAAAATTTACATTTTGCATTTGATATAAAAGTTTTTTACTCTGTCAATATGCCCTATCCAGCACTCCTCAAGTGAAAACATTTTTGTTTAATTTAAATTCTGTAAAGAAAATATTCCTTAATAATCAGACAACAAAAGGAGCTTTTTTCAATTATTTGAAAACTGATCAACAGAATAATCAATTAGCAAAAAATAAATTAATAGTTCAGGATAGAGCATATTGACAGATGAAAAAGTATTTATTAGTGTTGAATCATTTTAGTTTCACTTGGTTTAATTTTGTAAAAAAGTCTTCTTTAAGGAACCTTTGGCTATCCGATTATTATCATAAACATAATCAACAGATTAATCCATTTGCAAAATAATCGTTAGTCGCAGCCCTGATTTAAAGTCAGTGGCACAAAAGAGTAGAGAAAGGTTGCAGATCCCTTTACTTAGATTGATGAGTATAAAAAAGGCATGAAGTCAAAGAAAATAATGACAAGACAAGGACTATATATATATATATATATATATATATATGGCATAAATAGCATAAAGAGTCTAAAAATATGGTACTTCATAATTACATAGTGTATATCAGTCCAAACAGTCCTTTGTAATATCTAGATCTCTCACAATGATATTAATTAATGATAAGATTGTGAAATTCCCTGTTAATCAAGGTTTTCTACTACTATTAAAACAATGATTCAAAAAACTAAATTTTTAAAGAACAATTTTATCAGATAACTTTAGGTTGAAAGTGCTGAAAGAAAGCGGCCTTTGCTCACCCAGGCAGGTAACGGCAGCTTGTGTAACTACTGCCATCTCCAGGCAGGACAGAGCTCCCAGGTTATTCACACACAAAACAACAGTGTCACCTGAAATAAAAACATGAAAAACTTTATTCTATTAAACAGTTCATGCAGTCAGCGAGTAAAAGAGAGAGTCAGAAAGGCATAAAACCCATGCTCCTAAAGCTCTCTTAGATTTTAACCATATTTAAGATGGATATAAACATGATAAATGTTTAGGATGTTTGTGCTCTCATGCTTTTGTCATCTCTCCCTAGGTTTCTACTACTTGCGGCTACGCTTCAGGTCTGTTTGGCGCTTCGCCTCCATTCTCCTTGGTCCTAAATTGTGCTGCGAAGGCTCTGATAAGCTCTACTCAAAGGGTTCGAAGGAGCATGTAAGGATTGTGCAATAAAAAGAAGAAGTGAATCTGTACTTCAAGGAGGAAAAAAAATATTTTAAGTTCAAAGTGGCATATTTATCAGAATAAACACAATAAACACCACTATAAACAAACAAATTTACGAAATTAAAACATATGAGAAAAAGTAGCAAATGAATAAGAAAAAAAAAGGTGAATTTAGGAGAAAAAAGTAGCTAATTTGCAAGATTTAAACATGTACAGTTGCAGAACAACACAAGTTTATTATAATATTATTAATTATAATACACATTAAAGTATGCTATATAAAGCACATGTAAATGCATCATTAATTGGGGGCTTTAGCGATGGAATCAGACGGTACAATGGCCTCCTCATGTAAGTTTTTAAAATAAAAATGAATGATACAATCAATTTGCATGTTTATAATAATCGGGTAAATTTGCTTGTTTTTCTCGTAAATTTTCATATTTATTCTTGTAAATTTGCTAAATTTTTCTTATAAATTTGCAAGTTTAGAACGTTGTAAATGAGCTTGTTTTTTCTTGTATATGTTTGGATTTAGTCTAGTAAATTTTTCTAATTTTTACTTCTAAATTTGCATGTCTATAATTTCATAAATTTTGGTGTTTTTTTACACGTAAATGTACGTGTATATTCTGGTAAATATGCCACTTTAAACTCAAAAAATTTATATTCAAATTTTTTTTTCCTATATTCATTTTATCTTTATATTATAAATAACCCCAAATAATGACCTTAGCAGAGATGTTAAAATACATACATGTATTTATCAATATAGTGAGGCCTCCAAAATGATCTAGTCTACCTTTTAGTGAATTAATTGGAAAATACAGATGTTGCATGGTGGATGACTGAAAGCTCTACACAGGCTTAATCTGTAAAGGCTGTCTTTGTAAATTAGGGATCAGATCCTATAATGTAGACAAGAGAATGTACAGATCTACAGAAATGTGTATCTTTGGTGCCTTATTGAATTTAGCCCCTATTTAATGTCTCTCTTTTATCTTTCAGTCTACATAAAGCATTTTCCGGACTAAAGAGCGCACCTAACTGCAAGTCACACTCGCATCTTTTTTTTTAAACTTGAAACTTATAAATATAACCTGCTGAAATCTACTGAAATGTCCCCCGCCAAACCTGTAGGGGGAGCTCTAAATGTCGCCCCCTAGTGTCGGGAAAAAGAACAATGCTAGCTCCTGTTAGCTTGATGGCCTGCAGCAGTTAGAGATTCTAATGAAAAACAGGACTTTGTTGGCTCTTTATTTCAGCTCTACAGGAGTTGCAAACACTGTTTATTGGTTCGGCAGCTTTAATGGGGCAATTAAATGTCAAAATTTGTGAATTTGAGACATTTGTTCTCAGTCATGCCTTTCTTTTTCAATAGCCAGCTTTGACTTCTGCTCCCTAGCTGTTGCAGAGAAATCCACAGAAAAGCTGCACCTTTGCTTTAATTGCATGGTTAAAAGCGTGGGGGGAAAAAAAGCTTCTTATAATTTGGAATATACAGCAATGACATCCACCCATCCATTTTCTGACACGCTTTATCCCAAGTGGAGTCGCGAGGGCTGCTGGTGCCTATCTCCAGCTGTCTACGGGCGAGAGGCAGGTTCCACCCTGGACAGGTCGGCAGCCCATCGCAGGGCAACACAGAGACAAACAACCATTCACGCACACATTCACACCTAAGGAGAATTAAGCAAAGTAAATTGACCTAAGAGTCATGTTTTTGGACTGTGGCAGGAAGCTGGAGTACCTGGAGAGAACTCAGCCATGCTCAGGGAGAACATGCAAACTCCATGCAGAAAGACCCCGAGCCGGGAACCAAACCCGCAACCTTCGGGTTACACTGCACCACTGAGCAGTCCCCAGCAATGAGCATTTAGCTAACAAAGAATTTAGCTAAACTAAACATAGATTAACGGGGAACAGGCTTGTTAAAACACCACAGCTAATAAACAGCATCATAAACTGACCTGATTTCAGAGGCAGATGGGATTGGCTGTCTGGGTTGGTCATGTGATCCATCATGGTCTTCACCACCTCATCTGCAGACGCCACCTGAAAGACAAGCAAACAAAGACATTAGGGCTGCAACTAACGATTATTTTGCAAATCTATAAATCTGTCGATTATTTTTTTTGATTAATCGATTAATAATCGGAGAGCCAAAGATTCTTCAAAGAAGATTTTGTTTACAGAGTTAAACCAGGTGCACTTGAGGAGTTCTTTCATATTGTCAGAAGAAAAAGATCTTTTTTTTCATCTTAAATGCAAAATGTTGGCATAATTACTGCTCTAAGCAGGTGTCAGCTATCTCTGTCAGTTAAAGGCATGTTTTAGAGTCTATACTCCAACTCGATTACAAAATTAGTTGACAATTATTTCAATAACCCATTAAATCACAGTTTTTAGGCCTAAAAGAAATAAAGCTGCTTATTATGTTAAAACCAGAACAACTATAAATATATTTGGACTCACCTTTGATCTCTTAATCCCAGGTTCTCCGTGAATTCCTGATGGACAACAGATTGGTATAAAACATCAGTTCAAACTGATTTCTCTGTCAGAGGGGAATGTTTTCTTTCATGTTAGGCTGGATAATATCAATCACATATGAAGCTCATTAAGTCATATAGCTGTGCATTTAAACATAAATACATAAAGTCACTGAGCGCTCTACTAACTGTAGTAGATGGTCGGTATTAGGCTTACATTTCTTTTGGTCATGTGGAATAGTTATGAGCTTTCAGTGTTTTACCTGCAGCATAAACAGCTCTGAGGGAATCAGGGCTTTTGAAAAAGGAGACCATGTTTTTTTTAAATCCCTTTATTGTCCCACAATGGGGAAATTCCTTCTCTGCAGTGGGCTGCCATGGTGCGGTGCCCGGGGAGCAGTGTGGGGTTAAGGGTCTTGCTCAGGGACCCAGAGTGCAGGCTGTGGGGATCTAACCACGTACTTGCAACCTTCTCAGACCCCTCTAGGCCAACACTCTCCAGTCAATTAATAAGTCAATTAAAAAACTAGTAACAGTGACTCTAAACAGCATTCTGTTCCCTCAAACTACTCTGAATGTTTTAAATTTGTGTTTAGTTTAGGGAATTATCTGTGCTGAAATTAGTTGTTAGCTTGATTCCCGAGAAGGGGAAATGTCCTATAGTCTAAGAGCCGTAATCAGGAGGACTATGATCCATTTATATTTAATATACTGACTGCCCTTATGTGCTCCTAATCCCCATTCAAATGGTTTTTAAAAGTTAATCGGTTTTATTTTTATATAGTTTTCTGATATCTAACTCCATTTTAGTTCTAATACATTATCACTATGTTGTTTGCTAGTATAGTTTATATCGTTATGCTTAGTTTCAGTGTAGTTTTTATAAATTTCGGTTATAGTTTTAAAGTAATACGACACACATAAAGGCAAACGAAAAAATAAATAAACAACAGAAATAAAATCCCAGACAAGGACAGACTGCTCATCACAAATGACTGACTGCCACACCTGCCATCTGCTGGTGGAACGAGGTACAGCGAATAAAAACTAGACCTCATGAAGAAACAAATGAAGACTAAGCACACTTCCTCATAAAATTCAGTTATTTTGTAATTATTTCTATAAACCCTATTTACAGTTTCAAATATTTTTCATTTTTAAAGGTCTGAATTTTTCTATTTTTATTCAAATAAGAAACATTTTTTTTCTAGGGTTCCTTATTTCTAGTTTTAGTTAACAATATTAACCTTGCTCCAAATAACTAAATAAAAAGATCCAAACTTTTATATCTAAAGAAACTTTTACAGTTGATCTTTCAGACATAAACAGAATTAATTTAATTTTCCACATTATGCTATTGTGGATGATGAAAGTCTGTTTAATTTGTCTACAGATAAGTTATAGGATTTCCTAAAGTTTTTTTGGTTAATCAACATGAATAAAGTTTAAATGTATTAAAGATATAATGGAGGATTTTTATAAATTTTTTAAATGACCCGCCCTTTCCACTTAAAAAAAAGGCATATGCACAACCCTTTACACACTCCCGAGAGGGAGTGCACGCTCTGTTTCAATGTTGCTCTTTGCAATGCTCATAGAAGCTTACTTTTCAAAGGAAGATTTTCTATTTTTCCACTATGTCAGACTCACCAATGGTAAGTGAAAATATGCACGAGCACGTAGGACCCCATTACGTAAACATATCACCAAAATGAATGACAATTAGGAGGATCACTCATTTAGATGATCCTCCACTATACCTTTAAGTTGTCTCTATCATAATCCTTTTAAACATCTTACAATTCTGCACCGTCTCCACTCTATCCCATAATAATTACACTCTAGCCATTATGCATCAACCTGGATTCCCCTGGTAAAAGGAATTAAAACTCTTAACCTGCTAATGCATTTCTCCTCTATAAGGCTCGGGCACAGCGCGTTGCATTCTGGGTACGCCGCCATATTGGTAGCTAGTTGCTACGGTAAACAAAGACCTAAAACAGCATAGAGACAGAGCAGAAAGACGAGTAAACAGCGATGTTAAAAGCGAAGAAAGGATGCGGAATATACCGAGACACACTGCAGAGGGAAGCCAGGGACCGTTATCTGCAAAAGATGGGCTTCATAAACGGACTTGATCTCTACGAAGTAGAAAGCAAGGAGTGGTGCGTTGGGGAAGAATTTCTACCGCTGTTTGCAAGGGAGGACGTATTTTCGTATCTAGTGTGTGGCGTCAGTGCCTACACACATGAAGAGTTTCGCTGCTACAAGTCGCTAGAGGCTTACAAACAGCTGACAGATGGAAAAGTTCATGACATGGAAGTTATCAAGCCGAATGAGAACACAGTCATCAGAGCCAAGGTAAGCTACCGTTTCAACATGGTGTGGTGTTTGTTGTGGTGATAAGATTAGGTGCTGGCACTAACGTAAAACATCAAAAATGTATCTACTGGCTTTCCTGGTGAAACAACCAAAACTATTAACCCTATTATAAACTATTAATGACAAAATAAACAGAGTAGGACAACTGTTTTGTGTTTCAGTGGACCTGGCTAACCCTCTGGAACACAACCCTACTTCAGCTCATGCTACATGCTACAGATCAGCCAACAACGGTTAACTTGAAATGATACATGAATAAAAACAGTATGTTCTGTTACTTACCAGAATGAAAATGCCGGGAACACACCCTCATGGACGCAGGGATTGAGTTGAAAGTTATATTTGGCCGTCTTACAGCAGCGACCCATGCTAGCCGGCGACTCTTTGTTATGGAGGACATTTGTTTTCCATTGAGACGCCTCCAGGTTGGAAAACGGTAAAAAGACAATCCATTTGGGATTTTTTTCCCCGTCCAGTCACAGCTTGCACTACTACACCCTACGACACAGCAACGGGCGACCATAACGACAGCAGAGGTAAAATGAAACGGCAAAAAACTAAGCAAACTACTAGCAGAAGAAAGCTCGTCCTTACAGGCGCGAAGTCAAAGTGTAAACAGTGGGCTGACCAGCTATCAATATGGCTGCCGCGCAACGTGTGACGTCATGTGCCCGAGCCTTATTAGGCCTACATCGTGAGCCCCAACTAAAACATCAAGTTTATTCCACCCCCCCTCCTTCTGTCATGGACCCTCACCCAGTCCCAGCTCCATGGCTCCTGGTGGCAGGTCGAAAGAAGGAAGGCACCCGGGGACGCTGCATGGAGACAGGCTGACTCCCAGCGTGCCTGCGGTGGAAGAGTCCACAAAACAAATAGTTACGAGCAGAAACCAGAAACCTGTGATCAGGATCTAAAGAGTAAACGCACTCACCAACCCCTTTCAAAACCTCTTTCATCTTGGTAACTATCTGGCTCAAAGAACAGCCCTCTTCTGCCAAAGCCCCGGCAAGCTGTTCAGGGTTTCACAGCAACATATTTATTCATTTTATAAATTGAATCCAAATCCCACACATTTTGCTAATATGTGTGGCTATGATCTCCCCACCTTGTGGATGAAGACAGTGCCACACAGGCCTCTCCTGCCAGCCTTACTGGGTTTGTCGAAGGCACAGTCCTCGGCCACGATCAGCATGTCCACGTCGACGCCCTGGTTACGGGCCTGCTCTGCAGCCAGGCCGAAGTTCAGCCGGTCACCAGTGTAGTTCTTCACAATGAGAAGAACCCCTGAAGCTCCTGAAGAGCCACCGAGGAGGACGTAATTCACCCATACTTTCATTTGTAGACAACAACAAGCTAGAGGAGATCAGAAGCAGATTACCTGCTTGGTGTAAGGAGAGAATAGCAGCCAGGATGCTGGCGGGAGGCGGAGAGGCGAACACTCCTCCTGCTACGGCTGCAGACAGCATCCCAGCACCAATATAACCTGAAGACACCACAACAAGATTAAACTGGGACCAGTAGGAATACAAACAGACTATGTACTGGTTAAAATGGCAGATAGAAATGTTCCATTATAACTCACATATAAAGACATTTGAGGTTCTAAAATAATTCATGTTTAAAATCAAACTCAACAGATTCATCACTACTAATTGCTAAAAAAGATGAAGTCAACATTAATATGGAATAAAAAAAAAAACATGTATGAGAAAAAGTAACCACACATTAGAGTAGGGCTGAAACAATTGGATAAATCATGATTAATCAGTTATTTTAAAAAATCGTCAACTAATTTAATATTCGGTTAATCACTAAAGGTTTTGTGGAGAACTTTCTTAAAAGCCTCTCTACTTTAAAAAAAAAAATGCGCGTGCAAGAGCATGCACAAGCTTATTTCTCCTCGTAAATGCTCTGTTTCAAAGTTGTTGTTCTCATTGCTCATACAAGCTTACTGCATCCAAATGTCCGCCCTAACCCCTAAATCCCTCAATCACTATAAAGAGTGGAGACTATATAGTGGACTTTAGAGAAAACTCAGTTCGTTCGGACAGATAATCACTGCTTTTTGCTACCCAATGGTCATGTAACTCCTCCTCCACTGCGCGGTGCCTGCGCCATCTTTGTTATTAGTCGCCGCTGTTGCCGGTTGTGATAGCCTATGGCGACAGTGGGCCGCTGTGACAGCAAATCCCATAATGCTTTGCGAGGAGAGCTCTCCGCGCAAAAGCATTCTGGGATACATCTGCCTCTTCTGAGGCCTTTCTTTTCTTCTCATACACTTCATAAACACTTTTCTCTTACGACACTCTGCCATTTTCAAAAGAAAGGTGAGCTTCAATGACTGTCTGAAACCGTAGCTCACCACACATAAATGCCTGAAAGTGTGCAGAAAAAGATAGCTAACGCGGTGAGCATGTAAGACAGCCTTACGTGAACATATCACTAGAATGATTGACGATTAGGAGGACCACTTATTTTGATGATCCACCCGGAAATAAAAGATTGTCCTCTATAGCTTTAACTGGAGTGTAGAGACTCTAAATCTGGCCTTTAGCTGATAGAGCAACCCATTTAGAGCATTTACTATACCAAGACTGTTAAAGAAAGAAAGATAAACATTTTGCATTTACAATAAATAAAATATTAGTGTATCAATACTTTCTACCTTCAAAAAAAAATATATAAAAAAAATTCTTTAAGGAAACTTTTGTTATCCGATTATTAATGGAAAAAATTGTCAACAGATGAATCGATTAGCAAACTAATCGTTAGTTGCAGCCCTACACTAGAGCAATATCCAATGTAGTTACCTTTATAAAAGCAGAGATTATAAGAGGTCTTTTGTTTGGAGCTTAAAAGAAGGAGTTAAGATCAATTCAGGGTGGAAAGATAACAGCAGAGTTTAGATAAGTACCTTTTTAAATCTAATCTAAATTCCATCCAGATTATTCACAGGTGATTCGTTTCACCCAGAATCTCACAATAAATGTGAGAAAACCATGAGCTCATCAAGCATAACCTCCTACCCCCATGAGCTGGCTCATGTCCTGAACCGCCTCCTGACAGCAGACCCACTTTGCCTTTCAGATTATCCAGGTCAGACCGAAGCACAACCCTGTGGCCCTTCAGCAGACAGAGGCCCCCAGAGGCCCTGACCAGGCCACAGAGAGCCTCGTCCACACAGCGATCCACAGAGTTGATCAGCTTCTTCTGGGGCTTAAACAAACCAGAGACAAAAAAAGGTTCCTGTTATCTCACTGATTATCCTGATTATTTGTCCTTCAAATGCATGGAAATGGAGCAGATCTGTCACAACACATTTAAAACAGCAACCCAAAAAATGACACATGCACAAATGAGAGCTTCAGAAGATGCACATAGACTGTTAGAAGCATTAAAACTGTATAAATGAGAGGATTAACAGCAGAGTTTGGAGTTCCTTATCACTGAATGGACTCTGATCCGGCTGGGTGTGCAGAGCACACTGTTAGCTCCATATTACCAAAACACTGCATTTATTCAGCAAGATGCATCAAATGGGAGATAACACACCCCCTATGCTGCATGCATCGCCTTTCCTGGTGTTTTAACAGCTGTTTGAGTCATTTACCTCCATGTTTACTGAACTTGTGCGCTTCCTTCCCCGTCAGGCAGGTAGACAGGAGGAGAGGCAAAGCTGAAGATTTAAGATGCAAAAACCGGATATTGGTTTTCCTTCAAAATAAAACCCTCCCTCTGGAAATTTATCGGAAAATCTATTTGATTTATTATTTGAAAACGAATACATTTAAGATAATATATAACACAATTATTGAATTAAATGCAAAAAAAAGTAAAGATGCAAAACTTTTTTATTTATTTATTAAAAATGTATTTAAAATTGTGTTACTTTTACTTTGAAATGTCACTTTACATATATAAATATACACACATATACATTTATGTTTTTTTTATATTATCAAATTTCTATACTTTTAAAGTTGCAGATAACCTTTAAACTACCTAAATGTATTTTTTCTTAAATCACTGTCCCCCAAAAGGCTGCACTATCTAAGCTAAAAAAAAGTATGGAGAATTTCCAGGTTTCTTTCCAGAAAGTTTCTCTAGATATTGCATTACTTTTGGGAAGAAAGTGAAAAACACTCTCTTATAGTTATCACTAGGGGCAATTTTAATAGTAAATTCTGATATTTCAGTTTTGAAGAAATTCAACCTATAGGTCTAAACTACTTTTTATCTTTGAACAGATCATAGTGAGTAACGCTATAGATTAAAGTCAGAATTCTGAAATGAAAGTCAGAGTTCTGAGATTACTTAAAGTAAGAGTTCTGAGAAAAAAAGTCAGAATTCTGAGAAAAAAGGAAAAATTCTGAGATTAAATTAAGAATTCTGAGAAAAAAGTCAGAAATCTGAGATTAAAGTCGGAATTCAGAGAAATAAATCAGAATTCTGAGATTAAAGTCAGAATTCTGAAAAAAAGGCAGAATTCTGAGATTAAAGTAAGAATTCTGAAATAAAGGCAGAATTCTGAGATTAAAGTAAGAATTCTGAGAAAAAAGTTAGAAATCTGAGATTAAAGTCAGAATTCTGAGAAAAAGGTCAGAAATCTGAGATTAAAGTCAGAATTCTGGGAAAAAAGTCAGAATTCTGAGATTCAAGTAAGAATTCTGAGAAAAAAGTCGGAATTCTGAAATTAAAGTCAGAATTCGGACTTTTCCCATATTAAACTGAAATATACGACGGAGTATTAGGGTACGACGGTACGACGGAGTATTAGGGCCACACATGAAGAGAAAAAATATTTTTGCCATGACGAGATTAAACTCGACATGTCGACTTTAAACTCGCCCTGTCGACTTTAAACTCGCCATTTCGAGAATAAAGTTGAAATGACTGACATGTTCTCAAATTCAGAACTGCGAGCCTGGGTAAGCATAGGGAAAGACGTTACGTTATTATTGGTAGGCCACCGCTTCCTGTGATGATTATACAGTTGCAGCACGTCAAAGACTACCTTCACTCATAAAAAGCAGACTGCAGCTGTGGAGCGCGGTTGCTCTTTTCTCCAAACTTTGGAATGTCGAGATTGAAGTCGCCACGATATATCAACTTTATTCTCGAAATGGCGAGTTTAAAGTCGACAGGGCGAGTTTAAAGTCGACACGTAGAGATTAAACTCAACATGACATTTCAACTTTATTCTCGAAATGTTGAGTTTAATGTCGACATGTCGACTTTAAAGTTGACATGTCGAGTTTAATCTCGTCATGGCAAAAATATTTTTTATTAGGGCCACACATGAAGAGAAAAAATATTTTTGCCATGACGAGATTAAACTCGACATGTCGACTTTAAAGTCGACATGTCGAGTTTAAACTCGCCATTTCGAGAATGAAGTTGAAATGTCTTGTTGAGTTTAATCTCGACGTGTCGACTTTAAACTCGCCCTGTCGACTTTAAACTCGCCATTTCGAGAATAAAGTTGATATATCGTGGCGACTTTAATCTCGACATTCCAAAGTTTGGAGAAAAGAGCAACCGCGCTCCACAGCTGCAGTCTGCGTTTTAAGAGTGAAGGTAGTCTTTGACGTGCTGCAACTGTATAACTGTATAATCATCACAGGAAGTACAATTTGACCAAATCATCTACACAAGGCATGTCTGATTCTGGATTCTGTGCATGTAACCTGTGCAGCGGTTGGCTCTCTTGAACTAATTTCAACTTTATTGTCGACACGTCGAGATTAAACTCAACATGACATTTCAACTTTATTCTCGAAATGTCGACTTTGAAGTCGACATGTCGAGTTTATTCTCGTCATGGCAAAAATATTTTTTCTCTTCATGTGGGGCCCTAATACTCCGTCGTAGTCGTACATATCACTATAAAAGTTTCCCAATAAAAAAAAAACATTAACAACAGTCACCGCCCGCCCGGGCTGCGCCGTCAATGTTATTAAGCCGACCGTGTGTTTCCTCCTCCCAACCTGTCCGCTGTCTGTCTGTCCTCTCGGCACAGCTTGGAACCGTCCACAGCAACATGCAGGATGGCGAGCGTGGAAACAGCAGCAGAACACGAACGCATTCTGCGGGAAATCGAGAGCACGGACACCAACTGCATCGGTCCGACCCTCCGGTAAGTCAGCCCGCGGCGGCCGGGTGCCTGTCAGTCTCCATGGAAGGTGGGCTCACTCTCGGCGCCTCTCGGCTCCCGGAGCTCCTTCAAAACTTTAAACCGACATGCTTCCTTTATCGGACAGCTAACCGGCTAACTTTAGCAAACATCAAATATGGACGATTTATTCCATAAACTCGGGAAATTAATCTTTAACACATATCTTGGTCAGGGTAGTTTGACTTAAAGCTGTTATGTAAACCCTATAATGTAGTAACTTTTTCTCAGCAGGAATGCCACCCATTAGCTACCATAACATTAGCTTCCTGAGCTAACTAGTTGTCATTCTGCTCACACTTCTAGGAAGCAGTGTCCTTAAAGGTGTATTCATGCTCTCTGTTTGATGTGGGATCATGGTCTTCTATCTCTAGACTGTCAACTATATGGATTAAGTTTAAAGTTTCATAAAGAAAACACATTTTAAGCTCAGCAGCAGTTAATCTGTGCAGTTTATCAGGGAGTGTCAAGAAGGTCTGCCTGTTTTGAACCAACCCAGCCTCTGCTGCACATTGGAAATACTACATATTTATGAATGAAGGGAAATATATTCATTTGATTAATGGTTGAATAATTATATTTTGTTTGTAGTTTTTAATATAGTTCAAGGTCAACACTAAATTGATTTTGTTAGTCATAGTTTCACATCATGACTGTGGTACAGAAACAGGTTTGGACTTAAAGAGGATCAGAGTCCTGTTCCTCTGCACTTTATGCCCAGAGCACAAATTATCTTCTTTTTTAACATTCTCTTAAAGAAATAATAAGAAGGAAGTGTATTATATTTCTTAAATAGTAGTATGCAGCTTTTGAAGGTTTGGTAGTAAGACATACTGAATGGAGAAACAATTTTTTTTCCTTTTATTGTTTTAGTTTCTTGCGTCTTCCTTAAACCTTTTATAGCTTTCAAAAATGTTTTCATCCAAAATTTCTCCATCTGTATTTTTCATCCACTCTGATGGCTTTCCCCCTCTCCCCTGAAAAATGACATCCCCACAGCATGATGCTGCCCCCTCTGTACTTTTTCTCTCTCACTTATCTGGCTTGTGGCAAACTTTAAGCAGGACTTTTCATGTCTTTCTTTAAAAACAAACTTTCTTATTGTCAGATTTGTGGTTCTCTTAACTCGTAGTTCTCCTGTTATCTGATGATTCCACCTGAGCTGTGGATCTTTACAGCTCTCCCACAGTCATCCTGGGCCTCTTGGCTGTTTTTTTTCTGACTGATGCTGTCCTTGTCTATCATGCTTTGGTTATTCATTTATATTTTTAACAAACGATACTGCAGATATTCTTTTTTTAACCTAAACCTGCTGTTTTTCTTGATCTTTATGTTCATTTTTTGTTTCATAGTTGATATTCTCCAAAGGTGCTACACTTTATTTAATTATGGGTGGTTAAAGTAAAGATTGATGAACACAAAAGCACCACATTTAACAACTCTGTTTCTTAGGAAACCTTGTATCCTTCTACTTACCCTTTATAATTGTTTTGAAACACATCTGTGTTAATTTGTTATAATGTGGAAAATATTAGATTTTATTAGAGGAAAGAAAATACAATTTACAATATTTATTTGAGCCAAATCTGTAAAAATTATAGATTCTGGTTAGTTTTGTTTAAGGGGTATTTTTTTCTTTTATGGAAATGTACTTCCTCGGAGGATGGTGCACTTGGCCAGCGGTGTTTGCTCTGATTGTGTAGAGAGGAAATGAGCAGTGAATGAAGAGAGGAAATGCAGCTGAGGAACTTGTTTATTGAAGCCTTATCAAAGGTGTTTTTAGAAATATTTTTTCCCCAGTTATTCTAATTTAGAGGTTATTTTTCTTCTACTATCCAATTAATCAAATGTTTTTTTTTCCTTGTTGACAAGAATTTATGCAATATTAGGCTGTGCACAGAAAATATTGTGGTGAGGAAATGAGTTTATTTGACAGATTCCAACAGATTGATGGTTTACAGTTTGATTCAGGCTGAATCCTCACTTCAGATTTTCTTTATTGGGATTCTGTTGAGCAGTTATGAGCCGCTGACATCTGGTCATCCTAGTTTTCATCATTATTTATGAAAAATTAGAGCATTTTCACGTACATTAAAATATATATTTTTTTCATATCAACTTTTATTTTGGTTTAAATTTATTACTGTTTTATTTATTTTTTTCATTTTTGATTTCTTTATCCACCTGCATTGTTGTAAAGCATTTTGATCAGCTGAGGTTGTTGTAAATTTGCTGTATTAATAGTGTTTGGCATTTCATTTCAAACTTTAAAATGACGCTTTATCCATCATTATACCTGAATGTATGGTTATGCAGCCACTGCAGCCATTTTGGTGAATTTTATAAAGACTTTAGATTGGATAATGAAACTTTTAACTAAACCAAAAAGGTTGAATCTGGTAATATCTGCTCTGTTCGAAAAAAATAAAATAAAAAATAAAACAAAAAACACAAAGTTAGTTGCAGTTTCTTAATAATATGATGTCCTCTTTAAAATGCTGCTTTAATCAAGGATTTCCACACATATTAGAAACAGAGAACCTGAATGCATCACAGTGGTAAAGTAAGCAAACAGATATTGCAGGTCATCGGTCTGTTTGGACCTAAACCCAGGAGGTCTTTTCCAGTGCTCTGGTCTCCATAAACAGGATACATGACCTACCCCTGTGCTACACCCCCTGGTCAGTTTATTGCAATATTGATATAAAGTGCAGTAATATTGCAAAAACAATCATGTTTGGATAAATAATAACAAAAAAAGGATAAATATGTGTGTCTCAGGAACTAGTTTTGCACTTATGTTTCTCCATAGATCCATCAGTCTGCGTCCATTTATTGATCCAAGCATTCAGACATCCACCTACTTTTCGTATCTGTTCATTGGGATGTTATGCTGTCATTAGTGCGTCCATCTGTCTGTCAGTCACAGTCTTTCTTTCCTGTTCCTGCTGGTTTCATATTTAAATTGATTATTGTAGAAGTTTCTGCTAATGATGTAAAGACAATTCTGGTTTTAACGCTTTTAAGACATGAAAAGATTTCCAGTGACTCATTGGGATCTCAGTTAATCATATAAAAAAAGCTCTATTTGTTTAGGACATGGTCTGTTGAGGTGTTTTCAAAGGCACTTAGGTGAAAATTGTTGTTCTGTATGATTTATGGTTCTTTTCATTGAGCTGTTAATGACTTTCTCTTTTCTAACTTGGGCTGAAACAATCGCGATTATTCTATTATCAGAAGCGTCAGCTAATTTAGTAATCGATTAATCCTTAACTGCGGTACAGAGACTCTAAAACATGCTTTTAGCTGACAAAGGCACTCATTTAGAGCAGTAATTATACCAACATTGTAAAAAGTATATATAAACATGTTGTATTTAAGATAAAAAAATCTTTTTCGTCTGTCAGTATGCTCTATCTGGAACTCCTTTAGTGGAAAAGTTTGTTTAGCACGGTTTAATTTCATAAAAAGTCTTCTTTACATTATGCTATCCCAATATAAATCGATTAATTGAAAAAATAATGTCGATTTGCAATTTAATCGTCAGTTGGTGCTCTAGTTCTAACGCTTTCAGCCAAGGATGTTGAATGTGTGTCGGTCTATCAGACCGCATGCAAACCACTCCACTTTATCAGGTCTAAATTCATGTTGCGGGCAGCCTGTTTACAGCACTCTGAAAATACATCCTGGTCCTCATGCATCTTGACATCTTTGTGCAGCACCTCTGGGTGCCAGATTCCTCTCAAAGTGAGCTGTTCAGTGCCATGTGGGTGACTCAGGCTTGCTGACAGCCGCTGTACGGTCCCATTTCTGATGGCTCATCTTTTCCAGCTTCTCCCTCTGCCTGTTCATTTTTCCACTTTTGGTTGCATATACTGATTCACAGATGATGTGACCTAGTTTATATTTGGACCTACGGTTCCGTTCTCTGGCTTTGTATATTAATAGGAAATGCAAGTGTAAAATTTTTGACCAAGTTAGGCTTTTGAAATACTGTCCCCCTCTCTCTCATTTTGAACCTTTCTTAAGAAATCGTCTACAAATGGCCTCCTTTTTTTTTAGTTTTTCCTTGGATGAAAGGAATATAGGACAATTCTTGTTCTTTATATTTCTCCTGTTCTGAAAGGCTGTGAAAATGTGTTTAGATCTGCTGAATGGTGTTATGTAAAGCATGAAGAAAACTGCACTACCCCTCCAGTCCAGTTGGTGGTGATTCCACCGGAGGCCAAATAAGGAAAGAACAAACAAGAATCCCATATCCTGTATTAGTTAGCAAAGCAAAATGGTCATTTAACTAGCCCATGTTCTTCTCCTTTGGTTTGTTTTGGATCATTTCAAATTCACCTGAGTATTAATCTTTTATAAAGCAGAGAACAACAACATGCAGGTCTTTAAACATGACTGATGAGAGGAAGTTGGAAACACTAAGAGACGGAGAGAGGCTAACATTTATCTTTGCACAGCATATGCCCCAATCTGATATCCTCTGCAGCATCTAGCCACTTTCCTGGCTAGATGGTGTATTTTTGTCCATCCTGATAAACTTCTTGTTGATCCCCACAGAATGAGGCTTCCACCGTTTCATGGAGTTATTGTGGTGTTAATTTTCCACCACATTCAGCGTTTTGCAAGGAAGCTAAAACAATACATTTATCATCTGATCTGACATGAACACATTCTTTAACATGAGCTGAATTCCCTAAACTTCAGCACGACATATCTTTTACATTTAAGGCCACATATATCCTGCATAGTTCAAGAGAGGTTCAAGGAATGTGTATATGTGGAACAGTTCCACTACTAGGCATGGCAATATATAAAGACCTGAACACACACAGGAAACTGTGTTTTATGAGGCCGTTGTTTTTAGCGCCCATTAAGAGTCAATGCGGATGAACACACCCCACAGGATTTTCTGCAAGGGGGCTTACGTAGCTCCAGCTAAGATAGACCCCAGGTCTATTTTAGTTTGAATACGTAACAATTCAGCTGCAATTTCATGGGTCTGACAGGAAGAGAGATGTTTTTGCAAAGTAAAAAACTTAGGGAAATACAAAATATAATCTGTCAACCGGATGGGAAAATAGTCAGGCTTGGAGTTGCAGATTGCGGCAGAGCAAACTTTTATATAAACAATCAATGCAACATTTCAATAAGCAGAATACTTTACCCATGATGGAAGGAGGAACTTTTCTGCAAGGGGGCTTGCGTGC